CTGATCCACCTGATCACCATGCAATAAGCACTGATCCACCTGATCACCATGCAATAAGCACTGATCCACCTGATCACCATGCAATAAGCACTGATGATTCATGTTACCGGCATATCTCAAGTATTTATCCAGCCAATCAGCACATGTGTTATATATACATACATGTATTTGAAATATTTTATTTCAAGGAATAAAGAAATAGACAAACAAGTTACAGAGAGTAAAAAAAAACTGGGGTCACCTTTAATTTCTTCTTGTAATTGGGCAATGATACTGTCTGAGTGAGAATCTTCACCTATATCAACATCAACTGCTTGAAGATCAGCCTGAAAAAAGAGAAGGTACTCAGCATTTGAAAGCAAAATATATGTGTATAAATTTATTTTCCTAAGACTGTGAAATGCTTTCTAGTAGTTAGTTTATAATAGTTAAATAGACACAAAATTAAAAGAAAACAATTGGAAATAAGATCTAATAGCCTTATAACATAGTCAAGATATAATGTGCGCTGATTGGTTAAACAGCGTGTGCAAGCATGCATCCAAAATTTGATGGTGAATGCTGACGTGATTGAGTAGCACCCTCTATGTAATGATAGTAAGTTGTTTTCATTAGGCATAAATCCCTAACTAGTAATCTTTTATACATACGGCAAAACAACACTGAATATTTATTTGTCGTTTTGGCGTACATATAAAAGATTGGCAGTTAGGGATTTATACCTTATGAAAACAACTTACTATCATTACAAAATCTTTTGAAGTCTCGGCTAAAACAATTTCAAAAAGCTCTATGTAATGAAAATTTCATTTTAAATTTTTTTTGAATTTGTTTCTATTAACGTCAAGATTTTTTTATGCTTTTGCTACGTCATAAAAGTATTGGTCATTGATTAGTTGCTTCCATCAAGTTTTGGGTGCACTTCTTGGTCCATTGTTTAAGCACTCAAGAAGCTAGAGTTATACTCAGCTATGCCCTGTCCAACTCTTCAATTCCTTTGTGCTTCGATGATTTGTGATTTATGATTTATATAGTGCCCTTTCTATATATGGATAATCAAAGGCCCTTTAAATTGAGTTATGAATTTCAGATTGCTATTGCATCTTTCATACAGGAATGTAGACTTTTTCACTACCTACAGCACCAGCTAATGCTATTCAAAATGAAGGTTTCAAATGTATCTAGATAAGTTGAGGAGATAATCATTCAAAATTGCATTCAGGAACAAGGGTAATTTATGGTACATATGTGCTCTTAACTTTGGAATTAAACTTAGTAATAAGGTTGTTGCTCATGTAATTCTGTAGGTGGGGTCAATTGTAATAATTAGATTATCCTTGATAAGCCTCTTATTTGCTCTTATCTGGCTCTTATATCATTGACTGTAGACTGGCTTACAATGTCTAAAATGAACTTCAAAATGAACTTCAGGAAAGGATCAAACTCTATAGAAATAGTTTGTTGCAAGACTAATCTGCATGCAAAGAGTGAATTGACATGGCAGCTAAAATCAGAGAGTATTTAATATATAATCTTACAACCACACTGGGAGTTCCAACAACAGTTACATCAGGTTGATGCAGGCTAGATTAAAGAAAGTCCTAAGGAACTTAAGTTAAGAGAATTTTATACGCAGAGATAAATATTATGCATGCACCTTAACTTCCCCCAAAGTATGCTAGGATGCTCTAATCTCCTGTATAGGTGATGAGGTACACAATATCTTTTGTCAATAGACCCCTTGCATGTGACGTCAAATCAGCTCAATTTGGAGCGGGGAAAATGAATTTTGATCTCCTGAGAATTCAATTATTGAAAACCTCTTGTTATGTCCTCCAAATTGAGCTGCGTTCTGAAGTACTGCAAGGGGTCTATGAGCGTGGATGCATTTTTGACTAAATAGCTCACCAGACTAAGACCTTCACCACTCAGACCTGAGATCTGTGTCAAGATCATTTGACTTTGTCTCTTCAGCTGCTTATTCTGGTTTACTACCTGTAGATGGACAGACAGACAGACAGCTGAGTGATGTATATGTCATGGATGGATCATGTCATGGATGGATGTTATGGATGGATGTTATGGATGGATGTCATGGATGGATGTCATGAATGGATAGGTGTGGGTGAGAGGGTGAGTAGAAGAATGGGTGGATGGACAGACAGCTGAGTGATGTATATGTTATGGATGGATGTCATGGATGGATCATGTCATGGATGGATAGGTGTGGGTGAGAGGTTGAATAGAAGAATGGGTGGATGGACAGAAAGATAAGTGATGTATACGTAATGGATGGATGTTGTATGGATGTATGGATGAGTGTGGGTATGGGTATATGGAAATGGGTGGGTGGCTAGAATAATAGGTGGATGGACAGACAGATAGTGATGTATATGTAATAGGTAGATGTTATGGATGGATGCGGGTGGGTGGGTAGAACAATGGGCGTTGGACAGACAGATGAGTGACTTAATGGATGAATGTATGGACATATGGATGGATATATGAATGAGTAGAAGGGATGGATTGACAGATAGATGAATGGACATATAGAAGAATGGTATGGACAAGTGGATGAATGGACTGACAGACAAATGTGTGGATGGATGTTACAGATGGTGGGTTTATGTGGTTTAGTAGAAAAATGGGCATTCTCGTACCATTTCTCCTCCGCTTTGTTCCTACCTGTCGGAGGCTCTGGTAACAGCCATTTCTAGCCCAATGCTACCAGAGCCTCCAACGGGTAGGAACCAAGCCAATGAGCTCTCGGTCAGGAATGAAGAATGGGTGGATTGACAGATAGATGGATTGGCAGAAGGATGGTGGATATATTGAAATATAGATGATAGATGAATAGAAGGGGAGAGGAGGATGGAGGATAGATTATTCAATGGGATAACTGGATATATAAATGGATAAATGATGGGTGGATAGGAAAATGGATGTATGGGTGCAGGTAGGTACGATGGAATGGGAAACCAGTAAAACGTTTCTGAATCAGCACAATTCATGGCAATTCTTCCCAACAAACCTACCTTTGAGGCAATCTCCACTGCCTTGTCGCGGCACTCTGCTTCAACATTATATTTTCTCTGTAGACTTTCATATTCATCTAATGCAAGGCTGGAGACTAAAGTCAGATTAAAAAGAATTAAAATTTATCAACTGTAATACAATACATATTGGGTCCTTAAGCCTGGGGTTTTATTAATTGCACAGAGCAATTTGGAAGCATTTTTACTTTTTGTTTATTTATCCATATTTTCATTCATTCATTTGAATCAATTTGAATCATGATTCATTTATTCAATTTTATTTAGCTATTTGTTTTTTTATTCATTAAACAATTTTTTACTTATTCCTTAATTTATTTGCAATATATAATAATCTAACATGTAGGGATAATATTGCTTTACAATTAAAAAAAATCTTAAGAGCCTAGAAAAAAAAAGATTAAAAAGATCTTGTCATAAAGCTGTCTTCTATCCACTTTCAAATCAACTTTTTTTTTGATAAACATGTTTGACCTTAACACAGCAATATTTCAACAAATTTCCTTTTCAATTTTCAAGATATAAAAATAATAAAATCCAAAAATAGTTAATAGGATTATGTTTTTTTTTATGAGAGCTCATTCAGTTTACTCAGTAAATTTGTACAGAAATGACAGTGACAGTTCTGAAGCATGTACTTTCATATATGCAATGCTCACAATATCCTATATATCACCTGCTACAAAGAAAAAAATTTTTCCAAAAAAAAAATTTGAAAATCACCATCCAATACTTGAAAAAATGAAGTCAAATATTTTTCTGGAAATAACAGCTCATTAACATTTTTATCAACACATGCATTTTTCTTTGGATTTTTTTTTTAGAAAATGTCTTTCTTATCTTTTTTGCATGAGATTATTTTGTTCATATTTTTAAACTCATTTCTATTTTTAAACACAATTAATTTTTTCCTTGCTGTTATCCGATAAGGAAGACAAACAGTTCAGCTCTTCCTGAATAAGCTTGACAAGAAGATGTTATCTGAGTAATACCTGATGACTTAAATATATTTCCAATGTAAACTATATGTAAATCCCAGAAAATTTTGGGAATGAAAAAGTAAACAAAATCATTGAAAAAAATTATATTTGTAAAGTAGGAAAAGTCGACCAATATTTTTCTCAAATCTTTGACCGAGAGAATCTAAGAAATTTTTTTCATTTATAAAAAATGTTTTGCTTTGCTAACAAGTTCGTGAGCTGAGATGATCGTGTTATACCGTGATATTCCGCGATCTACTTACTGTGCTCGAGTTATACATACAAATTACAGGATATTTCGATTAAGAACTGAAAATCCTTCAAAATTCGTACAACTTCAAAGGATCTTAATTCTAATCTTCCCGAATGTAGATTAAAAGAAGGATTTATTTATATCGCTGAAGAACTGGACTCCTAATTCAGAGCTGATACAACATCTTTCGGTATATGTTATATGGCGGTGAATTCATTTAGGATAACAATAGAAAAAGGTCAAATCCTGATAAACCCTAGTAAAAATAAAAACCTGCAAAAAGAGGAGTTTACTTACTATTTTTGAGGCGATCGAGATCTGCTTTTGCCTTGAGATATTTTTCGTGCTCGGCTTGGAACTGCGAAAACAGACAGCTGATTCAAGATACTTTCCAAACTTACCATAAACTGAACTTAGCGGTTTATAATGGGCTTGTATAAAATAATCCCACCTTGGTATAATATTCTTCGCATCTGAGCTTGAGTTCGTCAAATTCTTGAGCAGCTTCAAAAAAGAGAAGTCATATAAAACATAAAATCGTTTAGTAAAAGGAAATGATAAAAGTGAATCAATCACAGTCGGTGTTTAATATATCGGAATGCAAGCGTCAAATAGGACTTTAAATTTCAACTAAGGGCGCTATCCGGGGTAATTTCACTAACCTGTCCTTGCAAGGATCTTTAAGGTTTGATAGTTCTGTTCTGTGGAATCTGGCTGTCCATTTAGTCGTTCTATAGGCTGCTGTTCCTTTACTTGTCTTCCTTGGTCCTCCGCCATTGCTGCATACACTTGGAACTAGAACTAAACATCCACGTCACGTGACTTAAGGCGGAAGTTTATCTGGTACACCTCCTTCAACGCTCTAACAATTTACTTTATAAAATCATAAATTATTTATACCTTCGTCTGGAATATTACCGAGTATCCATTAAAACGATTAGTTGCCTTTTATAAGTCTCGAAATTGAGACCACTTTTCACAGGTCACCTATATCATATTACGTCAACTATCTAGACTAAGTAACTATCTAGACTATCTAGAGAATATAGTATAGCATTATTCAAATCTCGATATGTTTATAATCGTAACAAAGGGCACTTTCTGTTTCATTTGAGTCTACTTATTATAAGCTTATGCAGAATCTTGGAGGCCTTTAATAATGTCATGACAGTTGATGTTTTTTTGGTAGGGGGTATGGGGCGGTATTTTTTTGGGGGAGGGGGGAGGGGTATGGGGTCATGGCTCCAGGGGCAGACTGGGCGTGGCATAGTCCGGGGAATACCCTCTACTGCTAAAACTCGTATCATAGTTTTGGTTTACAGCACGAAACACGCTATCGTTTCTACCAGACCACTATTTTTGATGAATTTTTGACACCTACATATATAAAAATTAACACTTTCATTTTATGCTGGTTTTTAATAATTTTTGAAGCAAAAGGACAGAGCTACGACTGTAATGCTCAATTTGCGCAAAGTTGTTATGCGTCATAGATCAACAGTGAAAAATTTCCACTTAGAAACAAAGCGATCAAAGGAAATATCAACAAAAATACTGAATGTTGATGGTTGCAGGCATTCCCAAGAGAGACAAAAGACAAAAGCATGTTAAATAAAACCAACTCTCCCCCGAGAGGCCGCGATGACTTAACGTGCAATCGATAAATAGTGAACATTTACCGATACATTGTGTGATTGTCACGCAGCTCTGTAGGTTACTGTGCGGCAACTTGATTGACTTCAATCTTATTACCATAACTCTTTTGCAATATAATACAAAAAATACGAATAATAAATTAATCCTCAATATACCTTTAATAAAACGTTAACAACGATTTATTAGAGAAATTATACTAAATTATTAATTTTCATATGAATGTTGCTAATGCAATTTACAATTTGGCGCTCCTCATTTTAAGGTAGTGATGTAATCTTTTATTTTGCGCAAATTTAGTAAAGGGAAAAACATTGATAAAAATAAAGAGTTTTAAGTTGCTTGCGCTTCAGATTCTTGCTTTAATTCGGTCTTTGCAGATTCTAGCATTGCTAAAATAGGAAATTTGCAATGCAATTTTGCGCATTATTCTGCAAAGAATTAATTTGATCGGTAATAACTATAGAAAAACAGACGAAAAATAGTGGGAAGAACAGATTCTATACCTGAATAGGGGCGCATATTAGGTTGCGGAAACTGGAGCTCGTTTACATGACGCTTTAGCTTGTCTTTTCAAATTCACCTCAATGCAAATATCGCACGTTTCTTATGGCAACCTTCTTTTTTCCAGAACATTTCGATTAAACGTGCGTCACAGAAGTACAGAAAAACAGCTCAAAAACTGCGCTCTTTGCTGTTCATTCTGATTTAGTTATCAAGCAATGCCATGAGAAACGACTTAAGTGGGGAAAAAAAAGCTCTAAACAAACAAAACAATAACCGAGGCAGCTGCCAGGCTTCAGGTCTTTTTCGTTTCCCTTTACCTCTCGCGTTATCTTCTTTTCGACAAGCCTAAAATGAGTATTTTAGATGATTAAATACCTCTCTAAAGGTAACATGATGTACTTGATTAATAACGTTCTAAATCGGCTAATTTTTTGTTTGTCAGTCGGTGCAACAAAGAACTTTGTTTTGCAGCTCTTCAGCATTCAAAATGCTGTAATTTTTCCTGAAAAGAGAAAAATCCTTTGAAAGGAATTCATTAATATCACAAATACAAAATTCATGAGGAAGTTAAAAGCCCCAAAATGATCAATGTTGTTTAACCACAATACGGATTGATGAACTATCAGTTTTTTGATCAAACTTATTTACAGGATATTACTGAGGTTGGACTAGGTTCGATAAGGAAGAAAAATTAATAAGAAGCTCAACGCAAACAACATTAAGAGAGCTGGAAATAAATATGACGTCATCTCCGATCTTAGCTCACATGTTGTTTTCTTGTTGGGCTCCCACGATTCTTACAAGTAACCGAAGCTTTTCGGAAATTATTGAAAACCAAAATGCGAATAAAACGCACAAGTTAGTCATGTGTTCCATTCACAAAGCTCGGAGGAAGATAATGAAAAATTTCAATAGTCAAGTTATTACTGAAATACCAGTTGAAGAAAAGTGAAAACACGAATGCAAAATTCTCAAAAAATCTACAAAGCATGTTTCATTGAAAAAGGAAGACCGTATCAAATTTTTAACCAAATAGAAAAAAGAAAAAGCTTGTTGGCTGAACGTTAATTTCTAACCGAAATGAAAGTATCACGGTATTAAGCAAATAATTAGTAGAATAAATAATTCTAAAAAATATTAACTTCGAGTGTATTGTATGACGTTGTTGGAGATGAAGACTTATCAACTTGCTCTTTCTTCATTTCCTTTTGTCTGCCACCAAGCTGAATGGAGAAAATGCAATCATAAACTAAATTTTTTTAGCTCCTAAGAAAGTGGTCTTACAGAGTCATCGTACATCAAAAACACTTGTTTCCCAACCAGGAAATCTTCCCTTTTCCTCCAAATACTAGAACAAAGTGTAAAACATGGCTATATAAGAAAAGAATATGCTCAATATCTCTTGAGTGTCAAGACCAGGATTATCTTTCCGCCCGTTAATTTATTTGGTCACGTTGACCGCGGAGTCGTTGGTGTCGCACAAAGTAGAGTCCTGATATCTAATACTCGGTAATCGAGAGTCAGGCATAATTATTATGTAATCTCATTCAGTTTTTGTACAAAATATCTTCTTTCCGATATCCAAATAGGTGCAGGGGAAATAGCCCAAATATTTGATGGCCAGTATGGTAAAAGCAAAAAGAAAGAAGCAGGTTTATTGACTTGCTCTGAAACTGAACTTCGAGGGGAAATTTGATAAAGCAAGGATTAATGAAATGTTACACGAAGTGAAATTTTTTCATCAAATGTCATCGATGTCGTCGATTTACCCTTTTCAAAAAGCGTCGCAAGTAGACAATGATATTAGACTAAAAATAACCCATGCTTTAATGAGTTTAATTAAATCCACGTGCTTATGCAAATTATAAATTAATTTCACAAACAAATGAATTTGAGAGAAAATCCTGTGTTTGATCTCGACTTTAGAAGCAAAAAGAATGGCGGGGTATTAAATAATATGTAGGTATACTTAAAAGGTGTAAATTTACAGTTACAGCGTTAATCTGGCTGTAATGGCCTGATAAGAATAGACGGTAGGGGGTACCGTGTGTAAAGCTCTTTCTATCAAGATTTTGCCGCCAAAATATTAGCTTTTAAGAAGGAGGTCTTACTATAGTTTTTTCCCGCAAATACTAAGAATGTACTTTTACATTAAAGCTTGTATACGATAAAAGACTTAAAAAATCATGGTTTCATGGCTGACAATTTCATGGTTTAATGCTTTGGTTAGCAAGAAAAATGAAATATGAATCGCTTGTGTCAGCCACTTAAATCCACGTGGCCGAGACACTGTTCTAAGGCCATATGGCCTTCTCAGTTCGTATCCACACTATTTTCAAGCCATCTGTTAAGCGTAATAGTGAAGCTCGAGTTTCTTACACCAAAGTAGATCTTTTATAAACGACAAAAAATAAGTCTGGAGTAACTCGTAGAAGTATACATGTCAAATACAAACTGAGTCAGTTACGCGCACGCTTCATTCACGAATGACAGACTGGTCGTCGGAGCTTGTGACAATAATAGAGAAAAAGAAAGACATTTTTTTCAACGTTTAGCGCTTTAGGATCAATCCATCAACGTCCAAGCTCCAAAGCCATCAATTGCAATTGTCAACACTATAACGCTCGTTCAGAAAAGTAATCAAAGTTTTTCATCTTTTATATTTATACGAGGTTCTGGCATTTGATATTCTCCACTCCGCCGTGTATATAAGTTCTATTCAAAACAAAATCATGCTTTAATACTGCAAAGAAAATCACGGCAGTGGGTCTACAGGTTAAAATCAGTCATACAAATTTCCGCTGCAAAGAACAGTGAACGAAATTTGCTTAGGGTGACAGAATTAAAACGACTGTCATTCTCTAAGCCGAAATTTTCGATCTCATAGCACTTGCACACTGTAATCGTATTCTCAAGGGATTGAACGGTAATGTATGAAGTAAATTACCATAACAGACACTATTGAAAACACCGTTATATGATTGGCGTACGAACAATAAATATAAGAAGGCAAGGCGTCTATAAGTCTACAATCTGACACCATGAACGTTTCACATGCGGTAGGATCGTAGTCGTCAAACTCAATTAGCTTCGGTTAATAACTACTTTACTCCGGGTGGGTGCGAACAGAAAACAAAAACAACTAAAATAAACCCGAATACTTCTATAGGGCGACAAGTCTCTGACCTATTACAACAACGATCATTAAAAAATCGTCTATAAAAACACCATCAAAAAATGTCTGCCCTTTATCAAAAATTTGCTAAAGTTGTTAAGTGATGAGTTACTGAGGGTACCCTGGGTTGGGATAGTTTTGTAGTCTGTGTCAGGGAGATCTAAGCGTAGAATGTGATTGGTTGGATTTTTGACATGTGAGTGAATAAATAGGTCACGCCTCCTCGACTCTCCAGTCGTAAAAAAAAATCCCTGCTGATCCACAATCCACATGCGAGTGACTGGCTGCCTTGCATTTGACAAAACAACCACAAAACTGCCCTTTGGCAGCACTAGACCGTAATATTTTACGCATTTGAGCACGTCTGGCAGTGAAAACAGAAGCCTCACCTCACAGTGTCACATCGGAGAAATCGAAGCAGCATACGAGATGTCTTTGAGTGAAGTGATGCTGAAAACACTAATTCCGAGTAACTTTTTAGACTCCGACGACGAGGAGATAAAGTCGTTAACTTGCCCTCCAGAAAATGATGATTTTCCGAAAAACCAGTTCACCAACTACAACATGTTCAATGACTACTTTGGACTTAGTGATTTGGTGCAAAAAGTTGGGCTCCCTAACACGGACTTCGACTACTTGGCCAACCATTCTTACGGTGTTGGGAAAGTGCAGTCACGACGTGACCGATTTGACAGCATTGATTCTGAGAATTCGTCTTCAGGGAGCTGTGATTCTTTCACTGATCATGGAATGACGTTTGGTGAAGGCTCATTTCAACCGTTTAGTACGTCGTCTATTTTGCACAATGCTGGAAAACGGAGAGAAAACGTGTTGCCTCCAAGCCGTCGTTTGAAGCCGACCACAAGGAGCACTGCTCCTGGTGCAAACCGCCAAGTGTGCGTTTTCTGCAGAAACAACGGTGAAAGCGAAGACGTCTATGCATCTCATGTATTGAAAAGTGTCGATGGAAAGACAACGTGCCCGATTCTTAGAGCTTATACCTGCCCCATTTGCAAAGCAAGCGGAGATGACTCACACACGATTAAATATTGTCCTCAAAATCAGCAGACACAGGGAAATGGCCAGCAGCAGCTTCCTCCACCACCACCGAAAGGGCCAACCAACACCAAGACGACGCGTGGGATTTTGCCGCCAAAAAGACGCTAAATAAACCCCGAAGAACATAAATATGAATTAGGAATACCTTATCACAGGGTAATGTAAAGAGTTTGTAGCAAATTTATAGTTTATATTCCAGTTTTTTGGCTTTACGAACAAATGGTTGTTGTGTTATTTGTTTACCGCCACGAGATCGTTTTACTGTCGAGTGAGTTTGTCCTCTACTCGATCGCGGTATTAATTTATTAGTAGGTATATTTTTTACTATGTATGACGACCACATATGGGTTGTAGAAGATATATAACTATCAGTTTTATTCACGTTTAGTTATTTTGATCGCTGCGTTTTAAAATCGTTAAAATTTTTCGACTACTGTCCCTTTCACTTTTTACCTCATGTTTAACGAAAGTAAAAGCTTTTCGATTTCAGCTCTAAAATATTATTATTATTATTATTACTTAAATTCATAAATGGGATATACCTCGTTTTTCATACGTACTACGATATAGAAATCAATTTCCAACAAATAACCTTAAAATACTGTATTCAGACGATCTTTCGCGTGACAACAGCGTTTAGGTTTTTCAAAAAAATATGAATTGAATCTTGTGCTCCTTATATAGAGTATTAATTTATCAAATATGTACCATTGTAAAATTTTGGAATTATAGCTAATATTCAGACGATATTGAATTTTCACCCCTTAAAGTGTAAAGTATTTTAAATATCAAAATGTTGATTGCGAATTTTCGCCCAAAATGACAAAAAATGATTTTAAGAATGTTTTAAGCCCTGCTCTTAAGTTCAGGGTAATTCTTTTCAAAAACGTTTGTAAAAAAGAAATGAAGTAATAGATTGAAATATATACTACTTTGAAAGTAGTTCACTGGACAGATCTAGTAGAATAAAGATTTTTTTCAATGAAATTTATTATTAATCTTCAAGCAGCAGTTGCTGTTAAGTTTCAAATTATAAAGTTAAGGTTTAATATTTCTAAGAGTTTTTAATATTATTAACTGATTATATTTCCTTCTGTATTCCAAGTAAGGAGTTTCAAAAGCATGTAAAAGCTTTATTTATATATAATTGCAAATAAGAAGCAAACAATTTGTACGGTTTTATCGTAAAATGGAAGGAATTAAAGCATGGTTTGACATTTCTACTCAGTTGTTGTGTTTGACTTGCGATCTCCAACTTTTCGCACTCAAGAATTTTTTCTCTGCTGTCAAACTTGACGAATTCCTCAGTCGTGAAGAAATTATTAGAGCGAAAATCTCGTATGAGCAGTCGACTAAAAACCCATAAATAGCTGATTCTAAAAGTGGTTTGAGGTAATGTCGCTTATCAAAGTCATTAGGAATTGTTATTCAAAGAAATTTTGAAGCATGATTTTGAACTGGCTTGACGGAGCGTGGATCAAGAGTTACAAGCGCTTAGTTAATGTAAACAAACGAAGCGTATTTTCTTTGGGGGAGAATTAACTCTGATATTCACCAAAGAAACTAGTTATGTTTGCATTTAGATACCTTCTTCTCTCGAAAAGTCACAGCATGAATAGCAGGCGAAAAAATTAACGAAAGGGAGCGGAAAACAGCAAGAACAAAGCTAAATCACAGCTTTCGCTCGACTGCTTGACGTCAAGCGAGCCAGCTGCGTTTTAACGAACGAATAAATTTGATTGCCGCATCAAAATGGAATAAAGGCCTAATAACTGGTTTTAATTTGTGAACCTCAACTTTAAGATATATAAGTGCGAGAGATATATATTGGCGCGTTTTAAGTCTACATCAATGAAAAACTACAACAAAGCACAGAAACGTGCGACGGACAAAAGAATAAGGGTAACAAAGCATGCTTTGCAAATGGTCTCGCTGCTAATAATTAAAGTAACTCAAGCGATTGAAGGCTTGTCAAAGTTAGAACACAAGAGAACCATTCTTTATCTTACAAGCAAACAGGATATCAAACTCGGCCAATAACAAGGCTTCTGGCTCCGAGGTGCGCCGATCTAGTGCCAAAGAAAGACATTATTTATTGTGATGTAAATACTGAGATAATTGCACCCCTGTTAGTTGTGTATTTATGTACAATGTGTACCTAAATTTCTTAATTCAAATGGTTTAAGTTTTTTATTGGAAGAAAGCCAATTCCATTTCGAACACGACATTTTTAACGGAAAACCACTCGATTGTATATTGTACTACTGGTATTTTTTTTCAAAGGTGGCGAACCTTTCTTCCCGGAAAGGGCATTTTTTTTTGGTCACGGAAATTAGAACTTATAGCTCAGCTTGGAATAATCGGGAGACTTAGGAAACTGTGACAATAAAGACGACTTGATAAAAGACATGTTGAGAAATGTGGTTAGTTTATTTTCTATATCAAGTTATTCATATTCATTATTATCGAGGTCTTTGTTCTGATAGAACCAGATTTGGCGCCATTTTGTGACAACTTTCACACAATAGGTGGTAAACCTAAAACGTGCTTAGCACGTGTAATTTAATATATTACGTTTTGCGCGCGAAAGCTACGAAACTTCATCAAAATAATATAGAAAATCTTTTCTCTTGATACGAGACTTGGAAGTTTCGATACGTTAAATTAAATTTTCTTTCGCTTTTGTCAAAATTTTGGCTCACGAGCTTCGCCCACGAGGTTGGAAACTCATTTTACGTGCATGACTTATTTTTCAACAATTCAATCTATTTATAGCGTAAATGATTTCAGCATCACCAAAATAATGATTTTTGGTAGTAAGTTGTTGAGAAAGACAACTCAACTGAAGCTTCCATTAACAGGCGATATATTTTTTAAGACAAGTCGGAAGGCTTTTCAAGTACATAATTGCAGTTATTCTGAGGTTGTTTTTTTTACTGGCTACGAGCTTCCAGTAAAAGGCATTTTAATCAGATCGAAGATGAAAACGTCACTGGAAGGAATGGCGGAAGGATAGTGTATTGAAACAAAATATATGAGCAAAATTTTAAAACACAGAGAAACTAAGAAAGACATTCTGAGAAGACCTCGCTGGATTCATAGACTTTAATTGAAAATCACTTATTGAATGCAGACAAAATTCGACCCCCCTAAGCGAATCAACAATACCAGTTTTTACCGTATTAATGACGACTATCGTATTAATTTGAATACTACATTTTGCATTCCTCTAACAATGATCTTGCAATATTATAATCTTGTTATCTTGTAGCTTGATACATTTCCATTTATTCCGGAAGCTTATGTTCCCTCATTACAATGGGCTGTGGTGACAAAGCTCGTCTGGAATGTCGTTATTGGGAAAAAAAATTATTTGATTCAAATTGAAGGATCTGATATTCGACTTTTGTTACTGTAAGACCAATGATTTGAATATAATGTCAAATAGTAATCTAGAAATCGTTTCTTTTTAGAACCCCAGTGTACGTATGATGCCCTATGCCCCGCGGCTTAAGTCAGAAAAGTCAAATAATAGCAATATTTGATGTGATATGAATATTTTAAATTACCCCTATGCCCCTATCCTTGACGACGACAACAATAACTGTAGTCAGTCGCCATGGGGCATTCTTTACCAACCTTCAACATCCCCACAACACATAACAAGAAAAATTCTCCTTATCAAAGTTGTTTATTGAATAAATTAATTCCTAGCGTTTTAGCACGCAGAAAACCATTATTTTGACATTCAAAGGCTGTAAAACAAACTGTTTTGGGGTGTGTTTTTGAGATAGACAGCTTGGATTATAGGTGTAAACAAAAAGGGCTCAATTTTAAAGGTCACATCAGATGTGGTAAACAAGGATTGAACTTGGTGATTGTGATATGTTTACATAAGTTTTAGCCCAACTTCAAATTGCGAAACAGCAAAATTACAGATACCTGGACTCCCTTGCGGCACACCATCAATTAAAAGTGCAACCTCCCTTCGTCTGTGGTAGAAAAAAATATTTTTCGACACTCGCACTCTGAAATAAAGAAATGATTCCTAGATCCAATTACGACTAATAACTTAAAGCTGAGTGACGTGCTTGATGATGATGATAACCAAAAGAAAAATACGTAGTCACGTTGCAAAATGCATTAACCTCAAATGAACACATGAACAATTAGGGCGGTCGATATTTTCCCCCCTCAAGTTATTTTGGATTCTTTGGTTGTTATTTACATACGTCTTCTAACTGAATAAACAGCTAACTAAAATTATTTACCACTTGACTGGCGTCTGTCCAAGCGAGGAAAAATTTTCATGTTGTGTGACGCTGTATCGATTTTCTAAATATAAAGCAATTAAGTTTTCTTCTCACGATCTCTGGATGCTTGACTTTAATCCGGAGTCGACGGTAGACGAAATATTTCCTTTATCCGTCAATACATGCTTGGTACCCGATAAGAAAAATATGAATAACAGCAGGATATAATCCAACAAATTTTACAGTATTTAATTATCTGTAAATACCATAGTTCGCCAACAACATCAAATAAAATTCCCTATTTTATTTCCACTTTCCACAAACAGATTTGCAGACATTTTCTCTAGTTTTAAAATGAAAAATATCATTGTTGTTGACTCACACTTAGAGAAATAAAAATCAAAACAAAAATCAAAACAAAATGCATTCGTCGCAAAATGGAAAGTACTTTATTTTGGTCTCCATGGTAACAGTTGTTGCTAGGCGATGGAAGGTTTTCCTGAGCATGACTTATCAGGTTTAAAAGACCAAAGGAAATTGAATAGTTGTGGGTTTATTGGTTTTGCATTCTGAATCCTTCATGAATACCTTACATTGTCAAAGATTAGAGAACAGATGAATATAATAATGACAACTGAAAGAAAAAAATCTAGTGCGTGATCTGTAAAGACTAGCATCTAAGCCTTATTTGCAAAAGGTCGCTATCATGAATCCACATATACACTGAACAGCAGATAAAACAGCTGATGTTTGGATAATATTATTATATTCTGCGAAAACCAAATTCTACAATAATTATTACCATTGTCTCACTATTTTTTATTTTTTCGACGGAAACACAATGGAAAGATATTCTTTGTATTATTATTTTACAACATGTTACAAACTGTTAACATTAATAAATTGTACATTTTTTTGGGTCAAAAGTTAAGATATTTGAACCTTTTACCAGCCCTTTTTGCTGCAAATAATGAGTTTAATTTCTTTGTTCACCATTATTCAAAGAAATTAAAGAACATATATCCTTCTCAAAACCCTTCTAGCCCTTCAGAATTTAAAATTGTTCCTCCAGTAGGGTTGACAAATTGTCACTCACAAAAATCAGCATTTCACAAGAATGTTCTTCAATTTTTTCAAAAAATTTGAAGGCTACTCACAATGATCTTTCATCATCCCCCATGGAGGAGGTGGGGGGATTGGGGGGGGAGAGTGGAATATGGTAAATATGGACTGGAATCAGATTATTCCCAGAGTTAGATAAATTAAGGTAAACTTATTTTTCACCCTACTTTCCTTTAAAAAACAATCGCAGATCTGATGATTAATTATTCCTGAAGTTGGTACTCTATCATCCAAATCGATTCTGCAAATCCCTGCACACATAGTTCCAGTATTCCCTTCTAATGTAATCCACATCAGTTGACAACTTTTGACACAGCTAAAAAAATATAAAATAAACAGTAATTAAAGTCAATCAAACAAGGAGGTTTTTATGAGCCCTAAGGGTTATAATGCCTGATACTCCAGTTTCCAGTTCTCTATTGCTCAGGGTTAGACTCGACTTTGTGCAGAATATTCATGTGTTACGGTAAAGGTACGTGGAATTTCAAAGTGTTTGTATTGTTAAAGTTGTGCATTCTTTACTTTACCATTGATATTTGTGAATATTAAGACACTGATACAAGGCTAACCCTGAGTAAGTGAATCTGTAATCAAGGAACACAGCGGTAACTTCAAACTCAAAAATGGTCTTTTGAGATTTGAATAATTTGATGCTGAATTTTATGAGGGGAAAAAACTAAGGAACCTGAAAAAACCCTCACTAATGATGATACTCATCGCAATGCATCTGGGGTATGTTCATAGTAAGTTCATGCTTTCAATTGGTGCCCAGGGGTACTCCGCCAGGATTTCGGTAGGGTTGTTCCGATGGGATTCTGAAAGGGGTACCCTGTATGACAAAAAAACCTCAAATTTGTAGACCCTGTTTCTGACAAAAAATATAATTAATTGCACTGAGTTCCTGTTTCAATTATCATATCAGCTCACATATTGTTTTTTTTTGACGACCATAATAACCAGTTTCGGTCAATACGAAAGTAGAAATACGACATAGAAATACGAATACGACAGGAAACTCAGGAAGAACTTGGAACTTGAGTGAATTTGCATACCCTGTTTATGACAAGAAGCTCGAAAAACCATACCCTGTTCAGCGGATCATCTCCGTATAGTCCATATATGGGAGTAATCTCCCCCCCCAGGGATTGGCATTAAACCTTGAAGCATCACATCCAACTATCACATAGGTTAAACTACAGTCACTCCTTAGATGTATTTCCAGGGTTTTTCTCCTAGCTATCTGGTTTCACTCCCTCTTCACAAATGATCAGTTACAAAAACAATTTTTTTTAATTGTGTAAACGCTAGATGAAAACCCTAGTTTCTTTGATTTTAATTTGCTTCTTTTTACAATTTCCTTTACCTCAACTGCCTTATCTAGAGTCCTTGGCTCTGCCTTCTTGTTTTCTAGTTCCTCTTCATAGATATCAATCAAGGTTGCCATCAGATATGGAGAATCAATACCCCTGGTGTACATCTCATCTAAAGTGTCCTTTAGTCCCGGATAATTGCTGAGGCCTTGTTTGCGAAGGACACTAAAACGAATAGTAAGAAATAATGGCACTAAGTTGGGAATTGTAACAAACCCCATAAGGAACAATACTGGAAGTTTATATTTAAAACATTTCCCCATAATCAGAGGGGTTAGATAAAAAAATAATTCTGATCAAGGCAATCATCAATGTACTCAAAACGTTAAGGTATTATTTCAATCTTCTTTTATTATTTCTATGTGTGAAAACCATAAAACCTTTAAAATTTAATGTTTGTTGCATGCAAAACCTCAAGAGGAAAACAATTTCCTAACACCTTTTATCTTTTCTAGAGTAAAGAATATGTCCCCTTGGGCATTCAAAACTAGAGCTTTAAGTGAAATGTACTTGTACTTTTTCCCTTTTTTAATTAAAACTTCTTTTCATTCTGTTTCTAAGCCTGTGCCATATGGTTGGTTGCTAGGCAACTAAGATGTAAAAATCTATAAATTGTACTAATAAAGCAAAGACCCCTTCAATAATAAGTGTTGGGTTAATGTTTAGGAAAAATATGTATTGAATTTAAAAAAATAAAAATAAAACAAAGCAAAAAAGTAGTACAGCACCACTATTAAAAAACTACTTCTATATTGATATATATCACATGATTTTAAAGCGCCATTATGCTACATGGAAATGAGCACTGCATAAATTACACATGATTATTAATATTATTATTATCATCATCATCATCATCATTATTATTGTCTAGATAGCAAAAAGGCATTGCGGCTTTGTGTGTCCTATCCTTTATGGACACAATGTGACATTGCCTGGAATGTTGCTTTCAATGGAGAAAATCAAACCATGTGCAGAAAATTTGAACTTTAAATATAGCACACTGCAACCATAGCAACTACTGTTTCATTGCATCCAACGTCACCAGTGACACTGCAAAAGTAGAACTTATTTCTACTTCTGTACAACAGTTACAATTAAGGGTGAAGATCTAGGTCTTTGCAAGCAAAGGCACAGGCAATGTTGCATCACGTGTCCGGTGTCAAGCGAACAAAGATAAAGATAAAAAATTACTCCAACAAAGTGCTCAAGTTCTGAAATGTCAGTGATGTACATTATCATGTCATACTTTTATAAACTTAATAAAGTCATTGAGTAAAGCAAGCTGATAAAACAAGGGTAGGTTAGTGATAATATCACAGGGACAATGGGGCATATTATTGAAAAGTGGGGGGGCGGGGCTGGCATTTGAAAATAAGCAAATTGTAAATCAAATTTCCGGGGGAAAACGTTTTTATTTATATTCACATTTTTGACTCAAACAATGGGGAGGCTGCAGCCTCCACTGCTCCGTGGTCCCTGTATCACCAAAAGAGGAAAGAAATCAGAGATAAACTAATAAAATACATTAGCTACGAAAATAAAATGAAGAATGTTTTTGTTTTCTTCTCAATGAAGAATGGTTACCAAAACATCTTTGAAGGCCAAATTTGTTTGAATATATGACTTACCCTTTGAGGTAGTTCCAAGCACTTTCATTGTTTGGAACTTTTTCAATTAGTTCCATGGTAAACCTAGGAAAATGCATTAGACAAAATCACCCATGAGTTGAAAATAAAGTAAATATTTTGGTTATAGAAGTGGAAGATATGAATTTCATGAGAGTCTGGGTCACTCAATAATTATGAAAATCAGTGTAATTCGTTTCTGTTTTCCAAAATAGTTTTCCACCCCATTGATCTAAAACTTAGACTTAAATATAGTATACAAATATGCATACAAAGATAATAGAATTGTGTTCTCTTAAGAATTTGATTTTTTCTATTGATGTTTAATGATTTACCCAATGAAAAGAATCATAGTATTTTTGCCCTTGGACCATATTGCCCACGCTATTTAACCAGTGCATAATAAATTTGCCTGTATAACATATAAGGCTGTCTGTCTGTCTGTCTGTCTGTCTGTCTGTCTGTCTGTCCTTCCCATCAATCATCCAATCTGATATTCAATTTGTCAAATATACCCAAAGAGTACAAAATACATACTTTACTTCTTGCTGAATCACCTCGTCAGTAAATCCCAGATGTGACAGCACAAAATATCTCTGATTCCAAGCAGAATTGTTCCTGAGATCCTCTGTCAATAGTTTGTCCACATATTCCAGTTCACTGTCCCAAAGATTAAATTTCTTGATAACCCACTGTCGATGTTGCCAGGCATGGTAATTCTTGGTATCAGGACGTAGGATAGAACTAGTGAATTCTAGTTCTTGATTTGCTTCATTCAGCCAGTCAATCAACATGCGTCTATGATACCTGAAAATCAAAAGAAAATAATTGATGCAGTGGATTTCTCCCGGGGGGGGGGGGGGGGGCCCCAGAAAAAAGTACTGGGGATGGTTTGGTATCTTTTAGAGTGTTAAATGCGAATTTTTGAAAATCAGCGTTTTCTGGTATCTCTTAGGGTGTCGGAAAAGGAGAGAAGTGTGCATCGATATGGCTTATCCTAGGCGCTTTTTTTCTTATTTGTTGTGGTATCACTTAGGGGTTAAAAATCATTCAGCCACACCCTTTTCTAAAGACTTCCAGTATCTTTTAGGGGTCTTTTTGAAAATTTCCGACGAGTATCCCCCCGGGGGATTTCTATTAATATTCCGAATCTCTGGGGATTAGAAAATAGGCTTGACATAACAGGGTTTTATTATACTGAAGTTAAAATTCTAGTGACACAAGTTGGAAAATGGTCTCAAGCTCAAAACCACTACAGTCCAATCAATTTAGAGGAAGTAAGATATCGGTGGATCAAGATAATGGGCCCTCCCCAGTAGCATGTCAAAGCAGAAAGCCAGAAAATTGCCAGAATTAATCACTAAGTCCTAAGTATTATTCATACTCTAGAAATCCATTAACTTACCACACTTGGTAGTTCTTTGGCTGTTCTTCAATCACTTCACTGACATAAGATAATTCTGCTTTCAAATCTTTGTTTAATGCTCTTAAGAGCAACCTGCGGTAATGCCTGTAAAATTAAAGAGAAAATTTGAAAATTTGCATGAATGTGAAGCTGGACTGTCAAGTTACAGAATTAATGACATCCTTAGAACCAATCATGGTATGCCTGCATGGCCAGTGAAAATGCTCAGACATGCATGGCTTTGTCATGGTAACCACGCAACTCCATACACCTTCCATACATTGGTTTACTGGTAGAATACAAAGCATACAATCAAGGCTCCCAGGATCAAATTTGAATAATCTTTTGAAACTACCCTGCAGAATCAATATAATGCTTCAATAAGTGATGCGGCCTCAATAGAATGCTTTGAGTGTGACTAGTGAACAGCCGCATGGAAGACAGTCAACACTGCAAGTTTTTCACCAATACAATTTTTTGTGTGCTGCAAGTTGCAAGAAAATGGAGTAATTTTCTCCCACAATTAACTCACCATACTGTGTAGTTCGCAGCATTCAAACCAATCGCATCTTCAGTAAGAGCAAGAGCACGTTCACTCATCTCTCCAGATTTAAGAATTGCCCTGAAATAGTCGTAAACATCTTTGACTGAAATACAAACCAAGCATATTGGAAATTATTAGTGACATTATTAATGATAATTAATAATGTAATCATTAATTAATCCTTTGATTAATAGAAAATACAATCAAAAATTTAAATTTAAAATTGCTCATGAGCAACGACAAAATAAAAACAGTTTTATACTTTTCATAATTCTTTTTTTGTTCTCTTAGTATAAACAAAAATACCAACTGCTTTAACTTTGACGATACAAAAACACTAGGTAATGTCATATCTATAAGCATACTTATTTACCCTGCTTTTGAAATTAGATTTTAATTTCAATAAATTCCTAATTGTTTAACTTATATTTATCTTAAAAACCGCAGTTGATAAAAATACCTTGGTTTAAAATCAGCATAAAATGCTGAGATATTTTCCAAATTTAGCGCAAAATTTTCATTATCTGGTTGGTAAGGTTTACCACCCAGTAGTTTAGATTAATATTAAATCTTTTAAAATCACTCACATCGTTCAGAATACGCAATAGATACAACAGGATTGGGTCCGTCATCTTGTTGGATTGGAGTTACGTCCTTCCAGTTGTCTCTATCGCGGTAGAAGACAAATGAATCTTGCTCGTCTTCTCCTGAGCTCACGTCCGCCATCTTGACACTCGAAGGGTGGAGTAGTCTGACTCGTTATCATGTCTGAGAACCAAAAAATTCACGCGTGAACCGGGCTTCCTGTGGAATTTCCCATTTCGTCACTATGCGCATTTATTTCTTCTCGTTTTCCTCTTTCAACATTGATAAAAAGTCTTTACTGTAAGAATGGAAGTTTGTTTTAGAATATTTTCTTTGTTTTTTATAAGGTAGGGGGTGTGGTATAATATGTAATCAGTTATTGGAAGTTCCCATTTCATCACTATTTCTTTCTTTTCTCACTCATTCTTTTAATATTGATAAAAATTCTTTGCAGTGAGAATACAGGGTAACTTAATAATATTTTTAAAGGGGGAGGGTTGGAGTATATTTGTTAGTGGACCATTCATATTTATGTCCAGTTGAATATGATACAATACATTTTATTAATACAAAGTTAATATCAAATTTAAACTAATCTAATCTAACAAAATAAAAATAAATGATGGCCCCTCAATTGTTTATATAGTTATCTTTATCATAAATGTGCCATATATTTTTAATGAAACCCCTCCAAAGTAAAAATAAACAACTTCGCAAAATTGCATTTTGTACTTCCAGAAAATGTCTGTTCCTGTCCACTTCTACTTTAAGGAGGGAATGGCCTCATCCACCTCTGGCACACTTCTTCTGCTTACTACTACCACTACTACTAATAGTAAAATTTGTTTATAGGGGATATCATGCGACAGTAACCTTTAACTGATAAACTTGTGGTCTATTTTTAACGTCTCTAGTTAATTAGGGATGGGACCACCATTAACGTGGTCATCCGAGCCACGTGAAGGTCTAACCATTTGCAGATGTAATTATGAAGGTGGCACCTTATCAGTTATTTTAAGACCCTGAGTGTTGGTCCGGCCGAGGCTTGAACCACGACCGCCTGCACAACAAACTGACGCTCTTACCAACTGAGCTAACCGGGTGGCAGTTGCAGTGCTATTAACCATATTTACAAAAAAGTTCATTGATCCTCAGTTTTATTTAAACAAAACATTTTTAAACTATGAGAATTATATTTACACCAAGCTTTAAAACATTCAATATAAAGTTCCTTTGCTTGCAAACATCTTTGAATACTACCATTGCAAAACAAAGGAGGATACCAGTATTTTTATTTTCTTATACTAAAACCAAATCAAAATTAGATAAAAATATCAAAACTTAATAATAATAATAAATATGCCTATTCCAAAAAACAATGTCTGGTCCAAAAGCAACAAGTACAATGCTGACAACTGGAATGAATGTTGGATTGTCTTGTAATTCATTCAAGTCAGAATTATTTTTATAGGACTAAATGTGATAATATATGTGAACTTACTCGTGAAAATGTGCATGGTCTATATTCTGTTTCATGCATTTGTTTCATTCAAGGGACAATGTTCGTCATAAAAGAATAATTCTCAGAGGAATGTTATTTGATCTGAAATGGGCAATTTGCATACAAAACTAAAGAGGTTTCTCTTCTTTTCTCTCTTAACAAGAAGCATGGATATTTAATGGAATTTTTACCAATCCCACTTGAGAAGCTTGTTTTCTACTTTTCCACAGGACATCTGTATCCTTTCCCTTATCTTCTTATAATCTTATATAAAGAGTAAAATGTGCTGTTGCCCCCAGGGGGATGGGAGGGTGGGGAGGGTACTCCCATATAATGATGAGCAGGAATGATTATCGTATCTCTTAGGGGTTGAAATCATAATTCACTCCCTCTTTGAGGGTAAAAAAGGAAAAGCTGTTGGTTTTTGGCATGTGTGGTATCTTTTTTCATGATCTTTTTTCATTAAAATGGAAAGTGTTTGAGGACTTTCAGCATATGTTTGAGTAAACTCAATGATCTTTGTTTCAAATGATTTATCTTGTGTTTCAAAGTGGTATCTTTTAGGGCTAAAATTAAGCCAGGACTACACCCAACTCTCTTTTAAGGGTTAAATTTATTTTTTGATAATCATCCCTGCCCTTTCTGTATGGTGGTACCCCCCTACTGGCCATGTTGACAGATTACTTATATCTGTATCTATGTCTTTGAGGATCAAAGTTTCTGTCATTTCTGTGCCAGCGATAATCATTTTCATACCAACCCAGTTCAGAATCATGATTACCATAGTGACATGGATAATAAGGATCATATCTTTGATAGTCTATTCTTCTGTCGCGAGGGTGGTTATTTCTTCTATCATAGTTATGGTTCCTGTATGGCCTTGTGTGCGTTGAGTGAGAACGATTAGTATGTCTGGAAGAGTGCCTAGGTTCTTGATCATCATATTGGTCAGTCCATGCATATTTTCCAGGACTACTAAAGTCTGGTACAAAATCATCAGCCCAGTTGTCTTCTCTATGGAACCTTCTTTTTCTGTCGTATATTTCTCTATAATTACGTGGCTTATCTGGTTCCCTCTCCTTTGAGTTCATTTCTTGTCTAGACAATTCTTTGCTGTAGTCTTTAAAATCTACATCATGTCTGCAAAAGAGGAATAAAAAATATTAGTTTAACACAATTAAGCAATCAATAACCTCATCATCACCATCTCATTCTCAGTTAGACCGCGAGCAGTCCCGCTATTTCCCTTGGTCACTGTTCGTATGTCTGTCCATGTCGAATGGCCGAGGAAGATTGGTTACGAGTCAAAAGTCCCTGAGGGACTCCCCAGCCCCCTCCCCCAGGGACTTTTGACTCATAACCAACCTTCCTCAGCCAATCGTCACGGACAGACAGACCAACAGTGACCATGCCATCATTAAGCCATCACCATGCCATCATCCACAGCCTCCAGACTGCTACCAAAATCATAATCATCATCATCATTAATGTCCTTTTCAGGAAACATTTGAATCAGATAATAGATTCAAACCTTTTTGAAATCTAATGTAACTATTTTGCGGAGATTAAGTACTTATGTTTTTCCTGAAATTACTTACCTAGGTTTTCGCAATTTAAGATCTTCTAAATAATTCTCTCTCTCTATGGGATAACCTCTTGCATCATTGAATGCTAAGAAACATGGACGGAAACATTAGGTGTGGGAATTTTTTAGTGGAAATCAAGTCAGAGGAAAATACATTAAGGGTTTTAACCCTATAGATAGATAGATTTAGATAGACAGACAGACAGACAGATTCCTTTATTTATACATGGACCTCTCATCAGTAAAAGTACATAAATATATAATTACACAAAAATTAAATACAATAAATAATAAAAACAAAAGTTGAGTAACCGCTAGTCCTTGTTTGTGACAAAATGCTTTTTTCAACCGGACTCGAAGGCCCTTAGGCCCTTCTTTTTAAAAAAAATACTTTGCGGCAAGGGGAGGACAAGTTGTCCATTGGCGACCCTCAAAGAGAAATTATTAAAGCTGGAACGATTTACAAACTTGGCATTAAGATAACCAGGAGCTAATTTATGTACCATTTTATCCATAAGAACTACATGAAATTTCAGTTACATTTTTTGATAGCTTTCATCAGAATTGTCATATTTCAAGAATGACAATAAATGGCAATTCCATTAATGGTCGATGCATTTATTAATATATTAGCCTTTTATTTCATCATTGCTGAGGAACGTAATAGTAACATAACCAAAACATCCAGGAATGAAGCATAATTCCCAGTCAGTAACATTTTCATTCATTTTAATGTTTATATCCAACCTTTTATGGCATCTTCAGGCTCGTATCCTTTGCAGTCAATCAAGTATCTGTGAAAAAAATTGAATTGAACATATTTCGAGACGACAAAATTATCCGCTACTCGTTGTGCTTCTCCTAACACTCCTCTCGTATTCTGCCAACCCCCGCATGATTTTAAACTGCACACAGCACACACACGCGTTTTCTATTTCTTCATTATCATTACCTGCAAACCATGTAGCCTGTTCTATTAATGCCATGTGTGCAGTGAACACCAACCAATGCTCCTGTCAAACAAAGAAATTATGACTTTATTGATCATACCAGGAAGCGAGGTGTGATTGCACATTATCAATATTGAGTCCTGCAGAACATACTCATATGTGGAATATTCGACTGTTACCTTGCGAAAATAATAAATCTCTTAATTTTTTATTTACCAGTCTTATCATTCTCAAGAAATGAGAAAACTTCGTATTCAAACCTATGAGAATAAAAATACAGAGTGTGTGAAAATCTGAAAGTGTGAAAAAATCATAAGTCAATAGACAACAAAAGCCTAGAAATTTAGGAGGCAGTATGGTCGGGTGGTCATAGCGTCAGTCTCGCAATCCGGTGGTGCAGAGTTTGAGTCCCGCTGTGGCCACTAGCTGAGACTGTATTTGTCCTGATTTCTGATTAGTTCAAATTCAGTTTCTCGACCATGCTTGTAACTAGCCAACTGGTTTGCCTCCTTGCCAGTTGGGATTCTTAAAAACACTTCATGTTTCTTTGATTATTTCTTTATTTAAGTTTATTAATTTGTGGACTACACTGTAAACTAGCAGTTAGCTAAGTGTACTCTCCACATTAAACAAGGTTTTTTTAAGCCTTTCCTTAGTCTTTCTTTGGGTTGACAGGCAAATATACGGATTAATCTGCATGTGAGCATAAAAAATGAATAGTAGGTACCTCTTGATATCTTCTTCTTTGGGTATTTCATGCCCTGGACACATCATTTTCTTGTAAATGATTCCCTTTTCAGTGAGTTCCTGAGTTCAATAACAAATAATGTTAACAAGATGTTTTATACTTTAGTATTCCTATCCCTTGCACAAGAACCTTGCAAGATGCTTTGGAGTAGCCTGTAATAAGTGTAAGCATATAACTGTCTAGATGGGAAAAGTGATGGTTTAAGTTGCACATGCTATAGAAACCAGAGATAAGTCCTGGTTTTAACAAAAAAATCCACTAGCATTTAGGAAGTTGACAGAAATGAAAATAAGTTGCCAAATTCTTTAAGGTTGGACTTACCGTTGGATCATAGTATCTCTTTGTGAAGGTGAAGTCAAGAACCATTCCAAGATGAAGACTTTTTTTATCTAATTCATTGATGAGGTCACTGGGAGTGAATCTAAAACATGCATAGTTACTGTAAGATTTGAAAAGCTTAGCCAGGGGCCGCAGAGGAGGTGTGACAGGGGGGGCTGGCTACATCCCCCTACTTTTTCACTTTTCCCATACTAGTCTCTTATGTTTTTCAATCTTTAGCCTCTACCCCCTCCCTCTTTAGGGTACTCTGTGGCCTCTGTTAGCATATCAATAATCTGGTCAACAAGGGACACTTAAAAATCAGAGTAATAACACAGAATCAATGATCATTCTGTATGAATGACAAATGAAAATTAGCCTTAGACTGCCTTATGAATAGTTCCTTCAGGTGTATGTAAACAAAAGTACCAGATCATGCCTTGTAATGAAAATTGAATGTCTTACCTCTCAGAATGTACTAGGCCCTCATCTCCTTCCATTCCAGTAGCAAATTTCTGGGGGGAAATAAAATTCAGATTTCAAAATTTATATTGAGTCCTGAATCACGAAGGAATTTCCAAACTAGAAATCCAGATTTCTCTTAGGAATGTATGTCGTACGTATGTTTATGAAGAAAATGTTACCTTAGACAATGGTGTTTTGAATGAAATTATCCTCTCATTCTTGATTGGAGTCCAAGAGCAAGATTTATACTCCCTCCATCTGTAGTGAAAACAACAAAGCAATCAACCACAACAAAATATAAGCAGCTAAAGCCTTACCACTTTATGTAAAATAATTAAACATAGACACTGCAAATTTAGTTTTTTCCTTCTCTTTTATCTATTCATATGGCAATACTTTTTTTGTTATCAAGTACTTTCCCTCAAAAACGCATAAAACAAAACAAAAATGCCTACATTTTCACTATCATAGCAACTTTTGCAAGTCAAATCTCACTGATTCAAATAATTTGAATAAAGCAGCTGAAATGAAAGCTGTGGTAGTTTGGCGAAAAAATCTTTCTTAAACTCAAGGTTTTCTAACTTTTATCGAGTCTACATACCTGTCTGGGACTCTTTTCTTATTTACCATCCTCAAAGTGCTGAAAATACGCTTAGGACACCGAAAAACAGCCGTTTTTTTGTAAGTATAAACAGGAAAACGCCGTCGGAACGAAAATGAAAGTAAAATGCAAAAACAACTAGACGTTCCTCGCCACTAGAGCCCAGTCTTTCTTGACCGGCTGAACAGGAAGTTTTACTGACCCGCGGTGTCTACCAATCAATACTCAACTCAACGTGCTTTAGAAAGGTAAATTTCTTTCCTGAAATCTTCCGAGAATTAGTCAAATTCTTTCTGGATTTCAGCTATTTTTAAAAGGATACGATAGGAGACGATAGGGTATTCGAGGTTTTAGAGGATTAAGTGAAGAAAAATGCAAAGACCACCACAGCCAAGTTGTTTTGATCGTGTGAAAGTTGGGTTCATGATTGGGTTTGCTGTTGGAATGAGTTCTGCAGCACTGTTTGGAACATATTCAGCACTAAAGTGAGTCAAGAATTAATGATAGAAACCTCTGGGGAATGGTAGCCTTACTATGGGTTATGGAGAGTAGGATGGGAAACTGTTGAAAGAAGACAAAGGATAGATGGGCAGGATGAGGGTGATCACTTTTCTAAAGCCAATTGGAGATCAGACAAGGGTGAGGGGTGGGGAGGGAGATGTAAAAAATTGAAAGTTAATCCTATTTCAGGTTTCTACAATCTCATATATACTCAGAGCCCATGTTCCTCTTGGTCAGTGCCAAGGAATGAGAAGCTTTGGCTGCAGCCGATTTTTTGAGCATTCTGATTCGGCCAAACAAAAAATAAGTCTGTTTCCTGTTGCATGACCGACCCTAATTTTCTTTCTAATTTTTGCCAACCCTAATATTTTTTTCATTCCCAAATGTACCACAGGGTTCCCAGTAAGCTCATTTCCACTGTTGCATCAGTAAAAATAAATCCGACCTACCGATTCTCTCATAGGGAGGAAAACCAGTGAACCTGGAGAAAACCCATTATGGCTCAGAAGAGAACAATATATCGAACAAACTCAACTCACATATTATCTAGCCCAAGCCAGGGATCAAACCTTTACCACAGCAGTAAGAGACGAGCACTAATGCACTATGTCATCCATGTCACCCAGTCTATCCACTCTATCTGAAACTAAAATAGCTAACTGTCACGAAAGTTTTAGAAAATAAGTGGATTTTTCAAGCACAAAATTTGCTTGGATAGAACTCAGTATTATCTAGGATATGCTATAATAATCAATTTTTGCATCTCCTGGAAGTAGATAAGCAGGAGACTTTGAGCAAATTTTGGCAAAAATCAGTGCAAGTTGAGTTGCGGGCCAGTTTCTCTTTCTTTTGCTGTAGAGTTGTGTGAGGAGAGTTTGAAGTTTCCTGTTCTTTCATTTTTTTTCTCTAGTTTTTCTCCCTTGAACGAAAAAATCAGAACTTGTTCTCAGGTGCAATCAGTCACTTGTGCAATCAGTCCCTTACAAACAGTGTGGAAAAACTGTAATATATAAATCATTATTAAATTTACTATTGTACAGTCTTCATTTGGGGGGGGGGGGGTGAGATTTATATGAAATAAATATGTAATTTCTTTCTTGTTTAGGTATGGTTTAAGAGGACGAGAGCTTGTCTCCAGTGTTGGAAAGATTATGTTACAAGGTGGAGGAACGTTTGGAGTATTTATGTCAGTTGGAACTGCTATCAGATGTTGAATACAGTACACCAAGATGATCTTCAAGATGTAGGGATATGACAGTTGAGCAAAGTTGAGGACATCCTTATGATATGGACGAAACTGGAGTGCAGCATACACGGGTGTTATATGAAGTAACTGCATAAATTATAAAATGACTCATCCTAGATAATCCAAAATAAATGACATTTGATAGATAGATAATTTGTAACACCGTATGGTATGTAAAAATGAAACTGATGCTTTGGACGTTAGTCCTTCATCGGAGAGAAACGTCCGAAACGTCAGTTTCATTTTTACATACCATACGGTGTTACAAATTATCTATCTATCAACTGTTTTACTGAAAACACCGACGCAGTTTACACTAGTTTTCACTAGTTTTCCACCTTATTCAAAATAAATGACTTCTCTTTTATAGAATCCTTGCTTTTTTTGAGCTTATAGTGAAACAGGGGGGGTGGGGGGGAGATCAAAATGAATAAAAAATATAAAAAATCAGTGACTTTACGTTATGTAAGTATGTGCGCCATATATATTGAAGGATGCAATGCACAATGGATCAAAATACACTTTCTTGAGTTGCGAGTGGAGTACGTTTTTGAGAGGTGTTTACCGGTTTGTTTAGGGGTTGCGCGTTTGAGTTGCGAGTTGAGTTATTTGTCTGAGATGCAATATTTGAGTTGTGCGTGTATATAAGTGCGTGTGAGGCGTGATTTAGTTAAATGCGCAATTGAGAGTCATGCATGAATTTCAATCACCGCATCTATGACTAAAAGGTGCAGGATTGGAAATTTCCGTCCAAGATGATCAACGAATCTCACATAGAAAGATTATCGATCCAAAGGAAACTTCTCCTTTATCAAGAAAATTTCCCTGTGGACCTGGGGTAAAGTGCTAAATTCAATACTACATGAATGTTAAATTTTCAGCCTTGTCCCGGTGGTCTGGGGGTAAGGTTCTAAATTCCTTTCATTTGCCATTTCTTCCGATTAGAAGCTTTAAAATTGTTATCAATCAAAGGGAGAAGGTTTGCGATCATATTCATTATATTTGTAGTTGCCTACGCTACTAGTAAATAAACACTAATGTTATGGATAAAACACTTACTTTTGTCCAAAACATGACAACTTTAACAAAGACAATGTTCGTCCATTCTGATCGAGTCACGTCAGGCCTGCGATCTAACCTCGATTTTACGACACATCTAGTGTATGCCGGCCATATCCTTTCAGAATTGTTACAATAGGAAGACATGCTTATATAACAGTGGAACATAATCGGACGTAACTTATGGAGCTTTTGAAGATGTACGTCGAGGTGGCGTAGAATAAAATTGAGAACAACTCTAACACAAGCTATATCCGCGTTCTTTAGTAACCTCATGATTTCAAAATTCAAAAAACGATGAAACTGTTAAACACTTCACTGGACTGGTTTTGAAAATACAACGCCGTTCAAATAGGACAGGGCTGGAAGGGTTATTTTGTGAAAAGTAAAATGCCTTTTTGATAATTTCGTGAGAAATGATTTAACCGCTGTTATTCTTTTTTTATTTTTTTTAAAAAAACGTCAATGGCAATTATCGTTATTTCGTGAAACGTGATTTGACCGTTTTATTTCCCGTGAAACGTGATTCTTATCCCCCTCCTCTTTACCAAAATCAGCCAAACGCGCTACTAGTGGGAAATGTTTTCTTCGCCAGAAAATAGATAGAATTGTAGCGGAATGATGAAAACGTCGAAAGTAGTGGTACGTGACTGCATGTTAAAGTGCAAACAGGTCCTTTCTGCTGTTTATTCTCACAGCTTTTAGCATAATCAGAAGTTCATTTCATTTCAATGCGCGATATCTAACATGTCTCAACTTTCATGCAAGGAATCGTTTTCGGGGGGAAACGAAATCTTATAAGAAAAAATATGAAAAAATATAATATAATTTGGATAACTTATACTTTTGAATCGCAAACACCTTTTTACGGAGCGAAAGATGTACGGAGCATATACGTACCCCTCCCTCTTGACAATAGATTATAGCACCATAAAAATGTAAATTAATTCGTAATAGACCATATATTATGATTTATGATTTCAGACAGAAAATCTATTGGTTCTCAAAGATATAGTTTATAGTTAACGATGTCCAACCATTTACCATTTCCAAAACAGCGTATATAGAATCCCATTTCCAGCACGAAAAAAATGGCGAACTCAGATATTTTTTACGTCGCTATACACATATATATCAGTACCCCAAACAAACAGGTAAAGAAAGCGGTTTTTAGCAGATGGTAAACATTTCAGGTCAAGTCTTTGTTCTGATCTATAAAAAGAAAGTTAGCTGGAATATATTAACATTTGAAAGTAGTCTCATTTCCCACTTTGATTTCCGGCGCGCGCGCTGCGCGTGAGCAATGAAGACCACTTACTCATGTAAAAACACCAACAGGAGGAAAACTATGAAGGACCTATGCTCGGTCGTAATTCAGACCTTTTATTTGTCTTTAGGCAAGCTTTCTTGTTTCCCTAAGCTAAATTGTCATCAAATATGTGCAGTTTAATTCAGAAAAAAGGGAATGGATGAGAGAGAGAAAGGTAGCAAGCACTCGAAGGCTCGCTTGTCGACGCTGAGCGATCGCCATATTTCTACAGCTGGTGCTCAAGCCAACGACGAAGTCAGCTCTCAAAGAGACGCTTCTCAGACGATTTTAACCATGGATATTGAAGAAAGCATGCCAGTTTTAAAGGAGACTTTCAAAAGCATCAGTGGAGAAATTTGCTTGTGTTCTAGCCAGCAGCAAGGGAGAAAGTACTTCGGTCATTTTGAGATGGGTACTCGCATGAATTCAAGTGTCAAGCAAATTGAAAAAAGAATAGAAGAAAGACTTGGACTAACATTGATGAAGGATTGTTTATTGAGACTTCAAGCTTCCCTTGAATTCGTTAGCGAGCTAGAAAATACTATGGAGAATTATCTTAGCTACTACAAAGATTTAAAAGAAAAAGGAACGGAGCTAGAAAGGGATTTCTTGTTCAATGGTCATCGTTTCCACGACCTGTGCTTGACTGCGAAAGACCATCTCACGTTCTGGTCGCTGTTCACTGAACGCTGCTCATCCGAGACCACAGTAAAATATACCTCCCCTAGGCTACAGAGTGACCTACAGTGGGTTCACAAGGCTCTGCTAAGAGTGATAAGTCGTTTTACGACTTTGATTTCGACTATTTTAGTTTATGTATTAGACATAGCTTGCTTTCAGCAGTGGCAACTGTCAGACGGACTCCTAAAAGATATCTCGTCCGCCATTGAGGATTTAAATCGCCTCTTGGAATATAGCCGAAGTGTTTTGAATGAGAACGACGTCCTGTTTAAACTGAGTTCTGCAAATTCGTTTTCTGATTCAACAGTGTGTAAATTGTTTGGCTTCTGTGCGACGGTAAGACAGATTCCCTCAAGTAATGTTTATCCAGTGACCCTTGGTAAACTTTTCCAAGGCACGGCAAAAAGACGGGCTCGCGTTTTAGGAGGTCATGTTTTGAGCTTTGTACATCAGCGCCAAGAGATTAGTGGAAATCTGAAGAGTGACCTTGTTCGAAAGCTCGAATGGAAAGATTTGAATACTGTGAACATTGATCACAAAAAGCTAGACCAAGGCAATGGAGTTGTGACTGTGAGAAGCAAAAATCATGTCCCCCAGGTTAAATTAGATCCAAATTCACCTCTCGTCTCATTTGAATCAATTGAATATCAATTTATAACTGAACTGATTTCCAAGCTAGCTACATCTAACTCTCTCATGTCAACGCACGGAATAGACAAAAAGCTACACATGCATAAGAGCCTTCCACAAAAAGGCCTTTATCACACAGACAATGAGGAAACACAAGACCAAATGGGTGAGGGTACTATTCCTGCTCATGATAACGAACCAGAGGCTGGTCACAGCATCTTGAAGCACTCCACTGGGTCCGTGTCACCACGGCTAAGCAAGCGAGTGCAATGGCATCATTCAATTGACATGGACAGTAAAGCACAAGTGTCCGCCCTTTATATGGACATATTCTGGTCTAGCTATAGTATAGTGATATGCCAAATGATGGAAGTACTTGGATGGGAAAGGAACTACAAGGGTATACGTGGACCACTTCCCCTCTGGTCAGACGATATAATAATGTCTGTCGTTAGGGGCCTGGAGTCACTCCAATTGTCAGGTATTGTTATCATACTTCCTTGTTGCTATGGGAGAAATTTGGTTGCCAAGGAAAAGACCCTAAGTTAACCAAATATCTTCTATTTATATTATAGTACTTAGAAATTACCTTTATTTTAAAATATTCTTTTTTCCTATCTTTCTTTTTGTTTTTAACCTCTTAGGATGACATACACATGGATTATAAATCATATACATATACTTTGGGGGGTTTACTATGAAAGTCCTTTTGCTAACATCGTATGTCAGGAAGACAAGTCAGATGGAATCCAGTAAAACACTCGTGGGATAGCTATCTAAGACTTATATTTGAGCAATTACCAGTGTTGACATAAGGTCTGAGGTTGAGTGGTACTATCCAATTTGTAAAAATTTCAACTTAAAATCAAAGTTGTATCTCTTTAAAAAAATCTGAAAGTCTACTTAATGGATAGAAAGTTCTGTGGAAATTGTTTACGTTGTTGAGGAAAAAAGAAGTCCTTGCGTGATACCTTAAATGCCAGGTGGATGTAGAGGTTTTTTACTAACGGTGCACGTATTGTGGTTTAGGGGAATGATTAGGTCAAATATATTTTCAAAATCCACAACACCAATACTCATTTCCTTGAGATTTGGTGACATTTTGTATCACTAGAACCTGGAAACAAAGCTACAGTAAACCTCTTCTTTTCCTCTCTAAAAACTGATATGTTGAAAGTAGCAAATTTTAAGGATAATTTCCAGGAAATGTTGTACATTGAGTTGTTTTTCTTTGTCAGGTGTATATAACAAATTGATTTAAATATATTTATCAGTTTTGGATTTATTCATTCTTAATTTTCATGCTTCATAATTTGATAGTAGAGTTTGGTATTGAAAATATTGAAGGTTGTTTTTGGGAATCTAAGGTGGCGTAGTGGTAGAGTGGTCACTTCTGGGGTCTTAGGCTTAGGCTTGATGCCCGAACTCAGCAACACTTTCCATTTCTACTCCAACTCCAACTCTGACTCTGACTTGGTCACAGGCTTCAGGCTTTTTTTCATACTTTTTCAAATTAAAAATCCATGCAAATAGAAATTTTCAAAACCAGAAACCTAACTAAATTTTAAACACTTGACTGAAATCTTGAGAAATACTCAAATTTTTATTGCAGATTTGAGATATATTTTCGAGCAAAAATAAAACCTTGAAATAATGCCTGTCTTTTTTATGAATATTTAAAAAAATTTAGAAACATAAGTTCTTTGGATGAGTGCCATTTAGATTTTTTGTTGTTGTTGGGATATTTTAGAAAATTTGAAATCCTTCATTATTACAAAAAACATAATACTAACCTTCATTGTTGACAAATATTTGTTTTTATTTGGATCAAAATTATTTGCTATTTTAGCTAAGATCTACCAGGAAATATAATGCTTTACGTTTGATGGTTGTTAAAATTGCAATTTTACCTTAAAGATTAAACAGTTTTTAGATGAATGTTTAGTGAACCAGGGTCTTAAACATAGCTTGTAAAACAGACATATTTAGTTTTGGAGTGGCTTGTTCTGGCGTATTTGCCAATCACTTTTAAACTTACAGCAAATAGATTAATTAATAGACATTTATCTTGAAGATTGTTCTGTAAAAATCTTATATCCCAGCAACAGGCTTCTATCATACCCTTTATGGTCCTCAGTCTGATTTTACAGTCAAACCACCTCAAGCGTGAACACGTAGAGGTCATTAATGACTTTATTTTTGGATTCTTGATTTCATTATTTGATTCAAACATTCATTAATGAAAACGAATCTTCAATATTCAAAAAAATTATAATAATTTGAAAATTCGATTAACTTGGCTTGTAGGCTCTTGTTTATTCTCGTATTCTTGTATACTCGTATTCCTGGCACAAAAAGTTGTTTTTGCATTTCAGTTGCATATTTGCTAGGTTTTGTATATGCCAGGCTTTGAAGAATTGTTTTCAATAATGAATGTTCGAATCGAATAATGAAATCAAGGATCCAAATATAAAGTCATTAATGACCTCTACGTGTTCACGCTTGAGGTGGTTTGACTTTAAGAGAAAAAATATGCAAGGAAATACATTAGCAAAGAAATGGTTTACAGAGTTTTTTCAAATAAAAAATGAATTTATTGGTCATGCTTGTCATGCTGTAGTGAACAAGGCCTTAGGCTAATGTGAATTACGCTGTCAGGAGAAAGAATGATGATTGAAGAAAGTAGGCTGTTCTTAGCAGCTGAACACCAATTGATCAACCATGGTTGAACTATCAATCAAGTGCCATCAATCATTGTTGACTATGGTTGGTTGTGGTCAATATTGCCTGATTAAACATAGCACGCTATTTATGGCTGTTCTAAGATCATGATTGATTGATAATTGCTCAGCTGCTAGAATAGCCTGTTGATTAACCAAAAACCAAGCTTTATTGAACACTGAAACAACCTCTGAGATCCAACTCAGAGCATCATCAACTAATAAACAAATTGAATGTGATAGGCATGTTGGTCTTGTCAAAAACCAGAGAGCCTAAAGAAGAGCAGTGGAAAGGCAAAGCAATAATCTCTGCTCATGTGTGATTCTTCTGAGTCCAGGAATCAAACCTGAGACGTCACAGGTGAGAGCCATATGCAGTACTCCTACATCGCTGTTATAGAATCCCATTGCTGTGGGATGAGACAAAACAATCCAACTGCAATACACTTCATTCACCTTGGTGCAATGGTTTCCCATTTTAGACCACTAGTCATTCCCTAGAGTATCATTTCTTTGTTTAAAGGTTGCACATGAGAAGACGCATGAATATGGATAAAACTCAAACAGAGAATCTTATCTCTAAGGAACAACATGTTGTCTGTGATGGAAAAACATTGACACCAAGACGAATAAGGCCTACTCTTTAAGTGTCATAACATTGACATAATATTGCCATGTATAGTTTCATAATCAAAATAGTGAAGTTGAGTTTAATTAGATTATTCACAAATTACATTTATTACATAAGTCTGTCCATTGGAGTCAAGCTTGAAAATTTAGATTAAAACGTAACCACAAAATCTTTTGCTTCAAGTTAATCTTTGGTTTGAGGTTTTTATCAACAAAAAAATAATATTCATGCCCTCAGACTTCTCATAAAGTAGAATTTCAGTTTTATGCAAAGAAGGCTACAATCATTACTATTCTAGAGTATAGTGTCGTGCTGTTACGTTAGTGATGGAAGAAAAGGACACACATTTGATTCATATAATTTCAAATTTCACCTTCTGCAATAAACATGTGAACTGGGAAGTAAAGGAGCTTCTAAATTCAAATTAGAATTCAGTGGATGAAGAGCCACTATGAAAATGCCACTGTTAAATAATATATTTATTTATGTCTTCTTAATAACTGTTGTAAAAATTCACTGCTATTTTTTTTGAAGAGATCAATAAAAGCTACTACACAAGATATCATTGAAGACTAATATTATGGTCTTCAACCAGAAAAAACAAGCCATCCACAGCCATCCCGATTCATTTATCATTTGAATTCACTTAAGTATTTTTTCGAGACATATGCAGGTTTAACCAAAAGAAATTAGACTTTTATCAGGACACATGTCAAAGCAGGTACCACAGTGGTCAGACAGATGTAAAACTGTTTGGTTAAAAACTAATTTTGAATGGGTAGTTTCGTTTTACCTGTCAAATGAATGATTCTGAATAGACAGCATATCAGTTCAAAGGGATAATTACTTCAGAAACATGTGCAATTGAGATCGGATATTTGCTGTCAAGTCACTCTTGCACCTGAATAGCTGAAACCTGATAGAAAGGCTGTCTTATAGTTTGGTATCACATTATTTTCCTACATGGAGTATCGTTTTCATCTATATAATTTATAGATATTAATAATTTTACTCTTTTCAAGAATGCGTCTTTCATGGATAGTAGGCCAATGATTTAATGCTAATGATATATTTGAAGTATATACTCTAATTGATTATTATAAACCCTGGATTCTAATTGGCTACTACTACATACTTGGTAGAGTTGATGTCATAGATGTGTAAGCGATCATATATGTCAGTATTGATGATGTCATAGGTGCAATATACATTAGGAAGAGTTGCAATGTCGTGATGACATTTTTTACTGTTGATGGTTCGTAGACTTGTTTTTCAAATTAAAACATATATTTTACTCCAATAAAAACACTATTTTACTTCAATAAAACATTATTTTACTCCAATAAAAACACTATTTTACTCCAAGAAAACACTATCTTACACCAATAAAAACACTATTTTATTCCAATAGATGATAATAATATATTATTTTTGTTTTGTTTTTAGAATCTCTTCCACCTGATGGATCCAAGGCACTTCAGTTAGTTAGCAGATATATCCTTTGTATTGGTGCAATGTCTAGCTGGGATCAAGGTATGGATCTATTCTATCTGCTTTCTCTTTTTCTGCAAAACAGTCATTATTACAGTCTGTGAATAGGCCTTTTCTGAGTTTGATAAACAGAATGCGTTGTGGTCTAGATTGGGTACAAACAACACCATATAAGGCATGATGTTTGTACCGAAGCTAGACCACAATGCACCATGTTCACTGTCTCAAAAAAGGTCTATGGAACAAGATGATGGTGCAAATGATTTTGATGGTGATAATTATAATGGTGCTATTGACTTGGTGGTAATGATGGATGTGATGATGATGATGGTTGTGATGATGGTGTTGATAATGATGGTGCAGGTGATGATGATGGCGACAATGAAGTTAGTGCTGATGCTGTTGGTAACAATGGTTGTGGTGATGATAATATTGATAATGATGGTGATGATCATGATGGTGATGATCATGATGGTGATGATCATGATGGTGATGATCATGATCATGATGGTGCTAATGATGTTGACCATGTAGATGGTGGTGATGGTGATGGCAATGATAGTGCTTGTACTAGTGATGATGGTGATGATGATTGTGTTAGTGATGATGGTACTAGTGATGATAAGGGTGATAATGGTGCTAGTATTAGTGATAATGATGCTAGTGCGTGGTGATGACGCTGGTGATGATATTGATGGTGATGATGATGGTGCTGGTGATAATGATGATGATAATAAAGATGATGCTGGTGATGATGGAAATATATTTATCCTAATAGGTTAATCATTTTTGTTTTTCTTTAGGTTTCTGTGATCTCATAAGCATAGCCCAAAAGGACAAATGCACCTCCTCTAACAAACCAGATGATTGTTCTCCATCAACCAAGACAGTCGAAGCCATCATCAACCTGTTACACCCAATGATGAGCATTTTTGAGGCAGCACAGAAATGGACAACTCATTATACAGGATCAAACAACAACTGTACCATCTACATGTTTAAAGACTTAAGCTGTTCAGTGCTACCAATTCTTAGTCGCATGCAGGCCATACTCAGTTTTACTCAATACTGGTTGGAAACAAAACTGTACCACTTTCTCTCAGGCTGGACTCTAAGCCCATTCTTCATGCTTCTTCACTGGGACTTGCCGATACTGGTTAGAGTATTGAGTATGACTGTGGATAAGGTCAGGCCACTCTGTGTCGGACAGGGTGGAAACTACTCATGGGGTCTATTACCAGTACAGTTAGAAGAATTGCAAGAGATTTTAAGTAGAATTAAGGTAATATTTTATATAATTATTATTAAATCAATATTCACGAGGGAAACTCAATGTATAGTTTCCTAAAATATCCAAATTCTGGCGGGGAGTGGGATCCGAGAGAAAAAAATCAGAGTTGTGTGAAGGAAAATTGGAAGTTCTTTGGGGTGGGGGGGAGGGGTCGTATTAAAAATTCCTCCCTTGTGGGGATACAACTTAATCTTTGAAAATATGTTAGCAGAACAAGATACTATATCCCTGGCCCATTTGTAGAAAGGGTGGATAGCATTATCCGATGGATAAATCTTTATCCAGTGAATGAGTTGATGCTGTTATCCAATAAATGTATCCAGTGGATAAGGATTTATCCATTGAATAGTGTTATCCACGCTTCATACAGCTGGGCACTGCAGGTTTAATTTGCATCCATGCCGTAAGCACTAATGTTACTATATTTAGACAAACAGTGTTTGCCTCTTTGAGAATCCTAGTGGTTGCATTACCTTATTCATTCAGTGGTTACCTTACATTCTGTTCTTTTCCTTCAGCATTTAATCACTGAATACAATCAGTTGTTTGAAGATGACTTGAGAAAGATGAGTAGTGAGTTCTTCCAGGAAGCTATGCCAGTAGGAAAAGTATGGAAGAAAAGCAGACAATCAGGTATTGTCATTTTTAATTCAGAGATAACGGCATTTCAGTGTATAATATCTGGCCAAAATCATTGGTACTTGTCCAGGCAAACACCTCTTGATCTTTCACATCAACTGGTCCTGTTGATCAGTCCAATGTAGCCATTGAGAGCAACCATTCAAGGGCAGATCCAGCCAAAATTTTAGGGGGGGCTAATTGAGTTTGGGGGGGGGGGTAATTGAGTTTTTGGGGGGCTAATTGAGTTTCTTCCGTCAACACAATGGAAAACAATAAAAAAGGGATATAATTATTGGTAGAGTGCATGCAGTAAAACCATGAAATAAAAACAAAGCTGATACTGACAAATAGTAGCTATTTAGTGTGTAATAGTTGCTAGCACTCAACCAGAACATTATTAAACAAAAGACACAAATGGTCTCTTGTGTATTTGTCTTTTGCGTATTGATTGTTCTGGTTGAGTTACAGCAATTATTTTTCAGTATCAACTTTGCTATTTTTCAGTATCAACTTTGTTTTATTTCATGGTTTTACTGCATGCACTCTATGACAGAAAAATCTCTAAATTCAAATGTGAAAAGCAAAAGTCTCAAATTTTATGGTAAAACCCTTGAATTTCCACAGGGATACCCTGCCAACCTAATTCCTACGTTGAGCATAGCATTACTCAGATCTTAGAGCCAGTGATTTATGGAGCTTCACTCCTTCCCATGGACTCACAGCTGAAGCTATTGGCCTTGGCCACCACAATCATGATGGAAGCATGGAGTGCGTACATCTTGAAAGAGGAAATTATATTCAGGTAAGTATAATTAAGAAAATCATTTTTAACTCGTGGATACTCGTAGCTCAAAAACGAGTTATTGTGAGGGGTTTTAATATGCAAAAATGTCACTCAGTCACTCACTATAGTGTTATTATGTTGATAACTAAACGATTGTCAGTCATATTAAGTTATTTGCGATCAATATCTAAACCAATCACTCAATTAGAAAATATACTTATATAATAATTTCTATACAATAGTTATAACTAAAAATAAATACACTTTAATATCCACAAGTTCACCATCATTTACCACCACCATCATCATCATCATCAACACCACCACCACTAACGGCATCATCATCATCATTATTACTATTATCGTTATTATTATTATGTGCAGTACTAAAACGTATAGATGCAAAAATTATTATTATTATTATTATTATTATTATTATTGTCATTATTATTATTATTCATTATTTCCTGCAGTTCTTTCATTAACTGTATCAATATGTGTCATTCTCTTGAGTGGTATGTTTTTGTTAATAATAAGATACATTGAAATGTTTTTTGTTGTTGAGAAATAATAGAATATACCCAATCTTGGCAGGTTGTAATAAGGTTGATAAGACAGCACAAGCACAGGAATGCTATATAGCCTGTGAAAACACAACCGTCCAAATGATCAGCAGCCAAAGAACACAGACATTTTAATAAGATTATTTCTTCTCAAAATTTAATTGCAATATTTCATGTTTTCATATAAATAAATTTTCATTTTTATTCCAGCTTTTATGGAGCACAGCAAATGCAATTGGATTTCAACTACATCAAATGTTGGATCTCCTCTGATGCTAGTGGCTTGTCCACAGAGATGCAATCCCACCTCTTAGGACTAGAAACATTCCATCACCTTGACGGCGCAACACGACTTCTCATGTTACAACCCAGAAAGAAGAAACAGATGGATGAACTTGATGTGGAACTGGAGTCCAACATCAGTGCCGTCAGTAGCAGCTCTGTCCTGTCGTCGTTTTCAGGCGTAGATATCGACAGTTATGAGATTGATGTCTTAAATGACAAGACGATACCAAACAAGCAACATTGGCTTGATCTGAGACTACGAGGTGGCAAAACTAAGAAAGGTTTGATGCCATTCTGTCTTAAAGTACAAGAAACTAAGTAATATATTAAGCTAATTAAAGTATTTAATAGCTGCTTTCAAATAAATGATGCTACCAGCAAAATAGCAGCCACATGAAGGGTTGCCAATATAGCCAGTGCATGGTGATGCCAAAACTACTACCAGAATCCTTACAGCTTCCTTAAGGACTAAAAAAACCAGTGCTCAAGGAAGTATGGTCATAAGCTGAATGGCGATGTGAGATTTTTGCAAAGTAAATAATTCTAAAGGGGAAAAGGGCAAGATGGATGTTTGGATAGGAAATGTAAATCTTAGAATATATTTAAAAGCTTGCGTTTAGATTAAAATGATAGTTCTTCCTGCAGATTATAAATTTTATTAAACTAAATATAACAACGGCAAGTTTTTCACATTTATTATCCAAAACTATATGTTTCCTATCGCTGTCTTTTTTAGTATTATGCTTCTGCAAGCAACTACTTATCAAGACTATCCAATGTAGTACGAAAAAAGGTCATATCTGACACTTTGAAGTCAAAGTCAAGGTGTTTATAGGACCTTATTGACGCCCTGTTTCTGGTAGAAGTTGTTCTAAGATATCACCATTCTCACTTGTAAAGGCATCAGTTTATTTCCAAGTATCAAGAGATATAGTACAGAACACGTGTTTCAAGAACATTCTGATTTATCCAATATTTTTATGTGCTATTGCATTGCAAGGCACATGTAATTACTAAATATTATTGTTATTTAAGTACAAAATTATTATTATATATTATGAAACTTATATATATCGATAACTAAAATGTATTAAGGACTGGAGTTTGACAGCTTTCAGAATTTTAAAAAAAAATAGATGTAGGACTATCGAAAAGACTTCTTGAAGCTCGAAATGGAATAGCATGCTAAAGATGTTCAACAAATATTGCAATTACTTGTAACCATATTCCTCAGATTTGGGAAATTATTTCTAATTAGATATTCATTACATATAATTTTCTCATCGTCTAAAGCAGATAATTACTAAGACAGTAATACAATTAATTATTAGACAATTGAGCTTCTGGATGGAAAACTGGATTCAATACCTTAGGTTTTATCCATCTATCTTTCTTAACTTCGTTTTTCTTTCATTTCTTTCTTTCTCTCTCTCTCTCTCTCCTCCTCTCTCTTCTTCCTTCCTTCCTTTGTTTCTATTCTTTGTTTTCTTCCTTTCTTTCCTCCGTTTGTTTGTTTGTTTTTTTCTTTCTTTCTTTTTTCCTTCCTTTTTTCCCCCTCCTTTCTCATTTTTCCTTTCATCTTATTTTCCCCATGTCATACAGGAAGGCCTTATTTTGAGACCAACAAAGCAGGTCTCTTTAAAGATTTATACCTGTTTTGAATTCCTTGCAAACCCCAAAGCTGCTGAACTGTTTCTTGATATCCTTGACTTTTAAAGGGGATTCTAAGTGTTACCCCTAGTGCAAAGAAGTTTCCAAGAGATTTCTTAAATCTCTGTTACAATTAAATAATTATAAACTGCATCTGTCAGTCTTAAATACAGTAATAAAACTATATTCATTAGAGTGAAGTCATTAAACCTGTGAAATAAATGTTAGACTAATACTCTTTAGTAGACCCTAATTCCATTGTTTTCTTTTGTGTCTTTTTGACTATTACACGTTGACTAGTATTTTTATTTCACGGGTTAAATGCCTTCGCTCGAACAGACTGACTACATTCCACACCTCAGTTCACTGATTAAGCACAAACCCTTTGATTGTGTGTTATCATTATCATGTCTGATTTCTCCTTTGTTATTACCACCAATAATTGGTGCTCCACAATGCACTGCCATCCATTTTTTTATCAATTGACTCTTTAATCAAGTTTGCAATGTACGCATTTGAATGATCTTTTGAAACTTATTATCCAAAGATGGATGATGCCTCTTGACTAGTGAACTTATATGTGGAATGTAGACATATAGGATGAATGAAAAAAATATAAGTTAAATATTCCAAAGAATATTCTATTGACCTATTAATAACAGCAAGGACTGTTTATACTGACTTAAATTACCATCAGTGCATTTGATTCTAACGTAATACTATAGTTTAAAATAATCTTTGCAACATTCCTCTATTTACTAGGGGTTCAAAGCTGCTTCTCTAGAATTGACCAACATTGATATTTATAAAAATTATTGATAAGGAATCATTCATTCATTTATTGGAGGGGTGGCGGATCCAGGATTTTTCAAAGGGGAGTTCCGTTTCTTAAACTGTGTATAATTCTCTTTTGTTTGGTCGATGTTTGACAAAAAATTGGCTCTAATCACCTAATTTACTATCTAGTAACGGACCAAGCTATAATAACACGACCAAACGCAAAACTACTAATATTTTTTTATTAAAATTTATATAAGACATATTTCTATTACCTAAAAGATGAAACCTTCAAGGGGGGGTTCCATGGACCCCTTCAACTCCCCCCCCCCCCCCCTGGATCTGCCACTGGTTATTGGTGAGAGAATTAGGTGCATTCACTTTAAGGAGAAGACTGAGTTACATACATGTGTATGTGGGGGGAGGGATGGGGGAGTCAAAATTATCCACTTTTTAAATTGAGAAAAAGCAAACCACCCTACCCCCCATAAATAATGAATGTTCCCTTAGAGGACTAAATATGAAATTATATCTGATTTACTGAGGATTCAAGATTATTTATCTCAATTTTATTTTTATGAGATGGATTAATCATAATGCTGAGTTTAGGTATGTTGAGTTATCAATGTTAAGAATTAAACGAATAAATTTTGGTTGAAAGACTGGAAAACTTTGTGAGTATGCTTTGATACACTGTAGTTTGATCGGGGGGGTGGGGTGGGGGTATGATTACAATTCATGCCCAAAAATACAGTGATTGGCAAGCTTCTATGACCTCATGTACCTCAGACTGAATTGGAATTCAGTGAGTGTGTGGAGTGAGAAAAACCAAGGATACTGAATAGAGGTTTTGCACCATCATGTGTCGCAACCAATATAATACAGCTTGGACTGTCTGTGGTTAGATGGAGGAACTATAAAATCCTTTTGCTCTCCAGAATTAAGTTTTTTCTCATGTAATACAATTGTATTGTTCCTGCCATCTAACATGGCTGCCGTCACGTGGTGGTGCAACACCTCTACCCCCAAATCAAGATAGAGAGCCAAGAACCCAAGAAAAACTTGCTCTCTTGTGATATAGAGTTCAGGAATCAAACCCACGATACTAGAGGTGAGAAGTGAGGGGAAAGCGACAAAAGCCAAGCAGTCAAAGGAGAAGCCATCATCTGGACTAAGGGGGGGTGGGAGGAACTCCAAAAACTAATGTGCATGAGCATGATTCTCTAGCACAAAGCCGTGATGGGAAAACGAGTACTTACGGTTTTTCAGCTCTAAAAATTCCTCTGACAATTTTTCCTTCAACATTTCCTATGAAACAGTATTTTTTTGTGATAATTCTATTGATTTCTTGTTCTAATTTGTGTAGTACTCATTTTCCCATTATTCTTTGTGCTAGACATTTGTGCTTGTGCACATTCCATACTGGAAAAGAGTGAGGATGCTAGTCATACCTATAGGGTTGCAGATCTGCAATTTGGTACCTCTTAAGATTTCACAGAATCTAAAAAGACCACCAGGTAGTAGAGTGACCACAGCAAATCTGTGAAACTTTAGTAATACTAAATAGCACAATTTCATGCAAATTCCATTGTTTTCTATTGTTTAATTAGCACTATTTTGTACTATTTAGTAATTAGTGTTTCACGGATTAATTGTTTGCACTCTAAGCCAGTACCTCTTTTTCAGGTGTTTTCCAGGTAACGAGATACCCGAGATTATGTGATAGCCAGAATAGCAGTAGTAGTTCAGGATATTTCTTCTTGGTTCATCATCTCATAACAGATAACATCAATTCCAACATTTTAGGGGTAAAGATCATAAGCTACACTCTGTCACCTTTCATTGGTCATTTTCAAAACTTCCAAGCATCCCCATCCTTCTATATAAAGGGTCTCCCTGGCTCTATGGCCTCCTTGAATAATCAAGATGATCAATCACATAAATTTACTTGGACATAATTTATTCATATTTCAGACCATGTATTATTTCTTTGTTTAACAATTGTGCATGACAAGACAAATGAATATAGATACAACTCAAACGAGGGACGCTTTTCTCAAGAGTGACACTTACTCTTACACGGGGAAAAACAGTGCCCAGGTCATTAAAGAGATCTATTGATAATGCAATCTTTCATGCCATTCCTTACCTCAGTAATAGATGTTATTGCATTAACTTTCTTTAGGGGCAGAAACTTGGGGACAAATACAATCACTGCACATGGAAGATATAATCCAAAGGTCTTGTGACACTTCCTTGTTTTGCTTTTGGAAGCAAAATTTTCTTTCAAAATATGGTTAACATAAAGCAAAAAGAAACAAGTTCTTACATGTCTAAACAATATGTCCACGAAATTGTTTCTCACTCTGTTTTTCAAACATCAACCAATCATAGAGATCAAGAATGTTCATTTATTTGCACATACTTCATATCATATAAAATATCTGTAGTTACAATATCAATCTGCTACTAGATAAACTCTCCCAAGCCATCCACGACACCACACACAGACTTACACAGTTAGTTTTCCATCTTATGCAACTTATTTTGTGCACGAGTTAATGGTTTAAATATCAAATAGAGTTGTATACATATACATATATATAAGCTGTTTTTGTTTGGCTGGGAAGTAATGGTTGCTCTTTTGTTTCTTTAACTAGTACATGTCATTGCTGATTACGCTGTCAGTTACACAGTAACCATTGGTTATATATGGATATACAATTACATAATTATCATTATAGGAATATTGTATTGATTTCTTTGACCATTCTTTGTAAGAAGCAAGCTATATCTATAACCAGTAGCTTTAATTCTACATCTCAAATAAGGCTGGTATCAATGAAAGTCTGCAAAAGATAAAAAAATATTGCCTTGCCGGGCAAAACACTAGGACTCTAGTTCCAAAAAGTTGGGTTGCCATAACTTCATGAACCAATTTAACTTGATTAGTACAAGGCATAGCTTTCAATTATTGGTGGGTGGCTAATATCATAAAAGAATGTCAAAGAAACCAATATAGTCCCCCTTTTATCTATTTTACAATCAAAATTTCATCACAGATCATATCTGAATAATTTTCACTATACCAGACATAAGGTTATCATTGAAAATGTTGGACAAACATTCTAAAATTTCAAACTAAAACTAATCTGTAAATTAATTTTAAAATTTGCAAAGCTACATATAGTCTTTTTTTACTGTCTGCATCATCTAATATTTGTAATTAAGTTGTAAATAAAATATCAAAAACAAGAGTAAAGTTAAAATGTGTAGGAAAACTCTATAAATGGTACTCTTTGGCAAACTAGTGTCTTTGCACCTAAGACAGATTTGTCAACATATCTTTAATATATTTCCTACTAGACCTGAGAAAAACAGCCAACTTTCGATATTCCGGTTAAGAGTTCAAGCAAAAAAACAATCCAAGTTAAGGCTCGGTTGTTTCTAGACTCAGGATTGTTTTGCAATTGATCCGTCAACCAGAATATTGAAATTTGGACATTTATAACACTTAATTAGAAGTTAAAAAAAGGTAACAGCACTTTATATCTTAGAGTAGATTTCATATGACTGAGACCGTCTGCAGAGGAAAACTGACAAATTACATCAATCAAACCATACAAGATCATTGATTATCCAATAAAAATGCTTGACCATTGGTGCTAGATTTTATACATTATCACCATGCATGACACACCACTTTTCATTTGGAGTTTTCAAAGTCAAATAAAATTAGCTATATAAGTGAAAGAGTCAGTAGTTCCATTTGTTGCTAGAAAGTGTGATGCATTCTGGTCTAGCTTGGGTCATATCTTTGCATTTTAGTTTTTCTAACCCTTCCCTGCAGCTAGCACAGTCCCTCTAGTTGGCCATTCTTGGCATCACCAACGAAGGAGACTCTGCTAGCAGGGAATTCTAACCCTAATTGGAACTACGACTCCAATTTTGTGCATGTCATTTATGATCTTAACAAAATATAGCATAATAAAGAATAGCACTACCTGTCAGTATGCATTAATTTTGTTTTAATAAATCAGGTGAGTTGATTCTTCACTCTTAGGACACTAAACCGTATGCTCTAGCGCACTTCAAATTTAAGTTCTTTATGCACAACTTTTAAAAATAATTTGAACTTTTTTCAAAAGTCTGCTTGTCAAATAAACTCTTACTATGATAAACTAAAGATTTAAATACTATTTATCTGAACCCTATGAATAATTTTGTTTTAAAAGTAAGTTATGTAATGCTAACTGGTTATTTAATGTTGATTAATAATGATATTAAGATTTAATGCAGTTGACGTCAAGAAAACTGAAGTCAGAGATCATTTCTATAGGGCTAATATTGAATAAATACTGGAGTTTTAAGGCAATCCTATAGCAGGACAGTAAGTTTTCGAGTGAAAATGTATTTAAAAATTTGTTTTCGTCTTGTAAGACAGGCAACCATACCCTGTAAGATGGCTATTGACTGATTCAAGTTTGCTTTACAATAAAATTAGGAGTTGAAATAAAACTCACAAATTTCAAATCCATGATGGGTTTTGGTCATTTTCATCTCTATCTTTCTGTACAGTACTTGAAACTTTTCTTTAAAAAAAATTATCATAAAAATTCTTCCAAATTAAGAAAATGAACAAGTGAAGGTAACAATGAACAATACCAGTGAGATAAAAAGTTAAAATGGGTCTCAAAATGTCGATTAATCTCTCATTTGTGGATATATTGATTCATTGATTTGTTGATACACAAATTTATTTGTAGTGATGGTGATGGATCACATCGCCAGGAGCTGCAATAGATATGTCATTAATACAGGAAAAAATTTCCCTCCTTTACCATCCTACTCTTTCAACCAAAAAAAATTAAAACAGTTTATCAGCAAATCGAATTTCTGTATCAAAGCATGTCCAGTCAAAACAATGATTTCCAATTCAACTTAAATTTCTGCAAAATTTCAGTACTCAAAAATGCCCAAAGATACTAAATCATCTAGAATGTTTTCTCATTTGATTGTAGTTTTTCGATTATTCTGAAAGGATGTACTTATGAATGCTCACATTTTTGCTAAAGGGCAGTATAATCTCTCATTATCGAACTGTATATTGTATGAGTAACAACTTAGATAAAAGACTGAGACATGAATAATTCAAGTAAATAATTCGTTCTAAACAATTTGAGGGAAAGACACGAGTCGCCAAAAATAAAAAGGTCGAATTATTTTGGAGGTTTTCAATAGCCCTTTACCAGCAAATTTAGTCCATTTATGATATGAATCTCATAGCGAAACAAATGTAGACTGTCTTTAGAAACAACATACAAAGGAACCGCCTTCAAAACAAAACAGACTTGACAAAGGAAGCAGAACCTAATTTATCGACCAAAATCCGACAATCTTTAGACAATAACTTTGACGACAACGGAACAAAGGTTTGATTATCAGTTAGCCATCAGGTTACAAAGGTTTGATTGCACTGTCGCATAGATCGTTTCAGGTTCGATAAAAGTTCTGAAAACCTTTCAAGTGTCCAGTTGGAATGTGTAAATAAATAAACAAAAAGCACTTGGAAGGTTGTATGCTTACCACTGCGGACAAAAACCAGGTAAAGACTAACTCATATTCTGCATCCTTGTTCAGCTTTGACTTCAATACTTGGCTGTTCTAAGCGTGTAGTTGGACTGCCGTCTCTGGAAGGGTTCTCATTTTCCATATTTAGTGCTCGATAGTTTGATTCTTGAGGGTTGACGATACTATTTGCATTCGGTGTACCAGCGTTCGATCTCCCCGCGTCACTGGGATCGCTCTCACAATTCTGCAAGCCTTGAGTATGTTGTGAATGGATAGTATGTGGTGCTGCCGCTACGACTATTAAGCCTCCTTCTGCGGACTTTTCAACAGTGATCGAGTTGTGCTCCGTGGTGGTCGGGACCATGTTGTTGGCTCCTCCTGTTGCTACTAAGATGGGCGCATTTGCCAACTGACTGACTGGAATCGCGTAGGTAGGACTAGCAAGAGACGACGCTACTGTCACTGTAACATTTGGCGGCCGTACAGCCTGAACTGTTACACCTTGTGCTAAAGCAATATTAGCGTTAGCTCCAGTTGAAGTTGTGACAAAAGTTGGTCGTATGATCATACTTCCTCCAGGCACGAACCCAACGCCTCCTAGAGTCGTGTACGCGATTCCGCCGTTTGCATTGACTGTCACGGTTTGGGCCTGTTGTAGTGCCTGTGCCACGTTCCCTTGGTGTGGAGTCAAAATAGTCGTAGCTAGCGTGTTATTCGGTGAAGTACTGCCATTCACAGCTATCGCCTGATTCTTATAAGCATCTTGCTGTACAGGCCAGCCGGTTACCATTCTAGGTTGAGCGTACGCTCGTTTTAGAGACTTCTGCCGCCTTCGTGGCCTATATTTATAATCTGGATTGTCTTCTTTATGCCTTTTGTCTAGCCTGGCAGCTTCGTCTACGTATGGTTGTTTTTCAGAAGCGGAGAGCATTCTCCATAACTTCCCAAGCATTTTACTGAGCTCTGCGTTATGAACGTGTGGATATTGCTCTGCTAGTTTTCTACGAGCAGATTGTGCCCAAACCATGAAGGAGTTCATTGGTCGTTTGATGTGACTGTCTTTCTTTGGGAGCTGTACTTCAGAGTATGGTCCAGGCATGAGTTGTGTTTTCACAGGCAATCCAGTCCCTTTTAGATTTGTGTCAATTTGTGGACAATCCGAAACTACTATAGTGTTTACCTGGTTGGTCGTTGACTCGCATAACGTGCTTGGAGTTGAATTCGACTGCACTAAGAGTGCAGCTGTCGTCGGCATTTTCCAATTAAAATTCTGATCGCTAGTTTTCGACTGTTCTACTTTCTCGATCTTGACTTCTCCGGGGATTTCAGGCTCAACTTTTGTGCCTACTTCCTCGCAACCAGCCGTAGCCATTTTCCTCACTAACTCCCCTTCAAATACAATCTCAAAGACTCAGATATGACATATTTGTGATCACGTGACGCCAATAAGCACGTGATAGGCGGGAAAACACTCTTCTGTTTAGTCAAAATTTAGCTCAAATTTCGAACGGATAATTTATGAACTTCGAATGGTTCGTAGTCTTGATCGCGAGAATGGTCTTGATCGGGTAGGCTTAAAGAACAAACGCTTTGAAACTCAGATCTCTGGGATGAACAATGCCTGGTGAACAATATATGTACGCTTTTTGTTATATTCTTCGCGTTTGAGTATTGTGTGAACAAAGAACCAATAGAATGCGAGGTATAGAAGGCATGCTTGATTATAGGAAATGCCAAACAAAAGCCGTCATCACGACTGACTGGCGCTCTATTGTTCTCTGTTAGACATTTGCGGCTTACCCAAAGTCAATTATGCATACTTCTATGACATTGAAGAATAGCCCTTGACAATATCACAAAAGGATATTGTCATGCAACATGATGCTATTGGCCGTTCCACCACAAAAGCAACAGATGAAAGCTTTCCTTTTGGCTTATTTTTTAAGCACTTCCTTCACGACATTAGTTTATTTTCAAAGGATTTTATTGTTAAGGAGTCTTTCATGTCGCGAACGGGATAATTAACGAAAATGATGTGGACATAAATGAAAAAGGAACGAAGAACTGCCGTTATCATCTAAGAATTCGGCAATAATTGACACCACAAAACAGCTGTTTTAAGTTTGACGAAAATAGACAATTTAAGATTGAAATTTTCTGAAACGCGTTTTTATTAGGTTTAGAATGAAATTTCTGTTTTTAATGAACCTTAGAGCGATTCAAAAATAAAACCGAAGTTTGCGTTTATTTTCCAAGATTGACTTTTTTGTTTAGCATTTTTTAAACGAATAACTGATAGATAAATCATGGACTCTTGGGTAAACGAATATAAACTAACTAAAATAAAAGATCTTTATATTCTTAAGATTTTCAAGGTTCCTTCAAGTTCAATGAGTAGATGAAATTTATTGGGGGGGGGAGGGGAGAGGAGAAGAGAAAAGCATAAGAAAAAGAAAAGTTCAAAGATTGCGATAAATCGGCTTCCTACACTCAAAAAAACGACCTCCCATATCTTTCATGGAAGGATTTATCGAGTTTCTGAACTGCCCTTTCAAGGTCAGAACTGGATTTCCGTTTGGTTGGGATTACTTCAGCACACTTTCACTCTTCATCGTTTTAGTGGCCTCACATGACCAGACATGTTATACACTCCAATAGCTTACAATCGCACTTATTTCAAATCGAGAGTCTTTATTCCAGGTGATTATTTGAATTTGTGTTTGTGCCCCACCAATTTGATTAAAAAATACGGTGTAATACAAGCAAGCTTAATCACCTGCTGAGTCTCATTAATGAGTGGGCCTCTTGCTTGATGTCTTGTTCAACCTTGGGGCATACTACCCCCAGGGAAAGAAGCAAAAAAAAGGCCAATTTCTTTCTTCAAGCCTGGTTTATTATTGTAAACCTTAACCGTAAAATGGGACGCTTCAACGTTTTCTATCTGTACTGAGACAATATACTCATATTTTTTTGTCGTTGTTTTTGTTTTATTAATGTCTTTCTTTTTTCGGCCTGATCAAACAAGCGGCTGATATGGAGCGAAAATTTCTTGACAATCATGTTATTAATTTAAGAATTTTAATTTAATCGCAATATATAGTAAAGATTTCTGTATTTAATCTTGCTAAAATAATCACCAAGTCTTTATCATCAAATGGTCAATAGGACTCTCTTTATTAAAATTTATTTTGAACCAATAAAATTACGAATGTGCAAGATATTACCTAGAGTGTTTGTATACCACCTTTTTCATAAACGGAGATATTTTTAATTATTTTCCCGCATTGTTGTAAAAACTTAATTTATTTTTTTTACTTTTTTACTTAATAGCTAATATTATTAATTTTTCCATTTATTATTATTGCAAACTGTTTAATACCCAGTTCTATCTCGGATTACGTTTCCGCGGTGATTGAAGAGACTGGGCACAAATTGACATCAGCAATGGTGTTACCAAGGCAACAACAACAGCAAAACTTTAATCCGCCATTTTGTTTGAAGAGCTAAAAAATATCGCAGGAAGAAACGGTTCAAAACAACAAGGATAATCAAGATATAAAACAACCAGTTCACTCTCAAAATGGAGGTTAGGGACTTTCAAACCTTGAGTTCTATTTGAGAATATTTCAATGGTTTTTTCTCTGAGTTTATTTCGATGAGTTATGATTTACGTTTGTTCTTGATTGAAGGGCGAAAAGAAAGAAACTAAAGAAAAACCTGCTATAGAAGAAAATGCCTTTGAAGCCTTGGAAAGAGACTTCCAAGAAGTAAGTATATATAATCTAGCAACCATGAACATTTCTTGTTTTCTAGCATTGTTAAGAATAGTCCGATTCAGAATTGTAAGCTTACTGAATTGAATTCTGAATCGGACTAAAGCTTATTTTTCTCGTATGATTTACTAAGTTCTGTTTTTATTGACTAGGTACTCGGAGAACTCATGGGGGACAAAAGCTTGGAGAAGTTTCGAGTTGAGTATGAAAAACTTCATCGAGCCCTCAAGAAATCCCATGAAAGTGAGAAGAGATTGATGCAGAAATGCAGAGAACTGAATGCCGAGATTGTTGCAAATGCTGCAAAGGTACAAACTGCATTGAAGCTGTCACAAGAGGACCAGACAACTATTGCTTCACTGAAAAAGGTAATAAGAAAAATGATCAAAATTTAGAATTCTTGTTATATGAGTGTTTACTTAATTGCGGTAGCATAGTTGTAACTATCTTACCATATGACTGCAATTGCGATTGGATAAATCACACAAGAAAACAATGGAAAACCATTTCAATGTTTGGCATGCCGTGCTATTTTTACCTGTCTTACCATATAGCTACAAGAAAAAGTCATGCCTATTTTATGGCAATCCATGCTGTGTACGTGGGTAGCATGGATGGCCTATGCTGCTGATGCATCATCTTTCACCAATTACCAATGTGGTTCCAAATCCTTGGGTCACTGTTTGGTATGTTATGAGGGTTTTTTCTGGTTTCCTCCTTCCATGTAAATCAACCTGTAATTGAGCATTGTGTGCATGGAACATTGCATGTGGTGGTAGTGTGGGTGATGTCCCCATATAACTGTGAAATTGCTATAACGACTAGACACTTGAATAAAGAGATGTATTTACTTTATACATCATCATATGTTTTTTCCACTCCAGACACATTGTTAAGCTTTGTCATCCAGGATATTTAATAATTGCCCAGCATTAAGAAAAAAATTCATTAGTAATCATTTATTTCATAAAAATATGTAGATGATGGTTTCCACTCATCTGGCTGTAAGTTGCCTTCTTAACTTTCAACTTATTGCTGGAGGTAATAGTCTTAATCTTAATTTATTCCAGGAAATTGAGAAGGCATGGAAGATGGTAGATGCAGCTCATGACAAGGAACAGAGAGCAAGAGAGACCATTCAGTCCCTGAAACTAGAAATTGCAAACCTTAGTAAACTGGTTGAGCAAGGTGCTGGTTTGACAATGGGACAAGATCACAGGTGAATATGAAAATTTGTCATATACTATATATGTGAACCACCCATGCAGACTATTATGTTATAATGACCAACATAAGTCCTATTTCATTTGACAATAAATGATAAAGTAGACTATGAATATTATATTGCGCATGTTAAATGATGGCTGATAAGCATTAACTATTAGTTGGCAGTATGTTGATGTTTCATTTTTACTGAACAGTGTGAATGAGCTCCTGAAAATCAAAGATGAGTTAACCAAGGAGAGAGATGAGAAGTTATCAGAAGTGACCAAACTGAGAGATGAATTGTCTGGTGCCACAGCAAAACAACAGAAGGCTGAACAAGACAGAGAAGAAGCTGAGATGAAAATAGCTGAGGTTGGTTATCTAGTAATAATTTGTGTTGGTCAATCAAAAATATTCAAATGTCCTATAATTCCCCCTCCCCATCCTGTCCCCCTCCCCATCCCCATTCCCCTCCCCCTCCCCCCCACATACACACATACTCTCATAGAAGTTAGCTGAAAATCTAAAGGTAAGTAGATATATTGTTAATGTGTACACATCAAGGGACAATATTCATATATACCATGATGTAAATCTTACCACTGAAATCACTAAGTCTTTCATTGTCCCTGTTACAGCTCAAAGAAGATATCCAGGTTCGCAGCAATGAGGCCCAAAGAGAAGCTCGCAAGAAGGAGAAGATAGAAAAAGAGCTCAAGTCATCCAAGAATGAACTGGAAGCCAAGACTTTAGAACTAAAGACTAAAAACAGCCAGCTACAAAGATCACAGGAGGAAATAAGCAAACTGGAACAACAGCTCAAAGAACAGAGAGTAAGTTATGCTAATATCATTAGAACTCCTAAACTCCCCCTCCCCAGCAAAAAGACATACTTTACTAATGTAGCCAGTACTCTGTCCATTATAATATTTATTAATTATAATTTTCCCTTTTTTTCTAGATACTGAATGAGAAGGCAATGAAGGACACTGACCTTCTGAATGCACGCTTGACTAAAGTACAGCAAGATTTTGAACAGCAGCTCATGAACTGTGACCAACTGGCCTCAGAAAACACACAAAAAGCAGCAGAACTCAAAGCCAGGGAAGAAGAAATCAATGGTCTCAAGCAGGATACTGTTAAGTTGACAAAGATGAGAGAAGCTATCCAAAGGAGACTTAGAGCTGTAGAGGATCAAAAGCTGGAGGTAGAACAGCAGAAGGAGACTCTTAAAAGCCAGATTGCTGGCCTAGAGAAAGGTAAATGTGATGTATAACTTAAGCTGAAAGTTTAGAGCACTTTCCAATCACATAAACAAAATCATACAATTTGCTGTCAAGATAAAATAGGGTTTTGGTAGATGTTTTGTATTGTATGTCAATCAAAGTGTTTCCATATCATCTATTGGAAGACATAAAGTTTTCAAGGGCACATACTTACAGTATGTAATGTAATGGAAATGCCTTGATAAGATAATGTCCACCAAAATCTACTCTGTCACTAATATGAGACAATGATTATTTTATTGTAAGACTTTACACATGTAATTGGGAAACACTGTAAGCTTTAAGTGAATGATATGTGTCGTAGTAGATAATTTTATCACCATAGGTACAAAAGATAGTAGACTGACGTTTCGGTAATTAGTCCTTCAACGGAGTCAAGTGAATGATATATTATTTTACAGTGGTCCTTGTTGCTATGTATGCACATAGTGCAAGGGGTCAGCCTTTCTCTACATAATGTAATGTAGGCCAACGAAAAATGCTATTAATAATTGCTGAATCCTTCTCCTGCTAATTAATAGAGCTTGAGATCAGCAAGAAGCAATCAGAACAGGACAGAAAAGCCATTGATGACCTTGTTCGAGAACGTGACATTCTAAATAAGGTAAACATCTTTTCTTAATTTAGTCGCATTATTTTATTTGTGTGACATTTTCTCTTCAGTATTCTGCGTAACGAATACAAATAAAACAGCTTTTTCCATGCTCAATCAAGTAATAAAGCATGTATGCTGGAAGTGACGTAAGCATGAAATGAGTGTGAAAAGAAGCACAAGCTGTAAGCAAGTGCTTATTAAACTTCTTGATTGTTTTTGGTTCTTGCTAGGTGCTTTATTACTGAACAGAGCTTGAAAAAAAGCTGTTGTAGTACTCCATTGTTTTTGATGCTTTAATAAAACGATTCTTTTCCAAGTCTTTGAGCATGCACGCTGATGACATAAGCAACCATGCTTCATTCACTAATAAAAAACAGCAATGAGCTTGAGCAATCAGAGCATGCATACTATCTAAGCTATATGATGTTTATTATTACTTACTTTCAAATATATTCACTTCATATAGAACTTACTCAAGGCAGCAGGAGCAACACAGAAACAGCTTGGTGTGGTCCGACTTCATGAGCAGACAAAGAAGAATCTGGAACAGGAAATCCAGGTAAGGCTATATATAGAACACTGTCTGGTTACCATAGCAACATCAAGCTCATCATTGAAGATCATTATGTCAACTTTATTGGGGTATGGTATCTATGACGACCACTTATGGTTACCATAGCAACAAGCAGCATGTTACATAAACATGTTAATGCCAACATATGGGTATAAGAATGCACTTACACTATCCTTTCAAAGCAATTATCCATAGTAACATTTCGTACTTACCATGACAATATTTAGTACCTTTGTACATTTCCAATTTCACCTGCTTTCATGGATTTCATAGTTCAAGATATATTTATAAAGTAATGATAAAAACTAATTCTTAATTAATATAGAATTACAAAGATGAAGCCCAAAAGCAAAGAAAGATCATCTATCAATTGGAGAAGGAACGTGATCGCTACATCAACGAGGCTAGTGAGCTCACCCAGAAGGTTCTGCAGCACATGGAGGATGTTAAGGTCAGGGAGATGCAGATCTTTGATTACAAGAAAAAGATTGCTGAGGCTGAAACCAAGTTAAAACAACAACAGGTTAGTAGACCTTCTATTTTTATCACCGCTCTTTGGAAAAGAATAAAATCTCCTTTGCTCTATCCTTCACCCCCACCCCCCACCCCCCAGCCCTCACTAGAAAAAGATATTCTTACCTCTCCACTTTACATTATAAATGCCAGTGAAAGTCACTACCAATTCGTTAGCAGCATTTTCACTAAAGCCCTTGCCGTTCTTGTTATTTATTTATTTGTTTATTGTTTTGCTGGATTTTCACTTTATTTATTTTTCTCTGTCAGAACTTGTATGAAGCCGTTCGCAGTGACCGCAACTTGTACAGCAAGAATCTGATTGAATCCCAAGACGAGATCACAGAAATGAAACGAAAACTCAAGATCATGAACCACCAGATCGACCAACTCAAGGAAGAAATCACTGCTAAAGAAGCAACCCTCGTCAAGGAACATTTAGAGCATCAGAGAGTCGAGAAGGAGAAAGATGCTCTTAAAGCTGAGCTACAGAGAATGAAGCAACAGGCAGCAGAATCCAAGGCATATATTGAACAGCAGGAAGCAGAGGAAAGGAAGCTCTTGAAGATCATATCAGAGGCTGATTCTGAAAGAATGAGACAGAAAAAAGAATTAGACCAGGTACGTGAGACATCTGACAATTGCGCGAAACCCCCAAAATTAAACGATAATAGCATGAACCTGTCCCTCCCCTCCCCTCCTTGAAAAATCATCGCCCAACAGCAGGCTATCACACTGTTGGATCCAAAACACCAGATGTCTTGAATTGCGGCTATTTGCGTGGGCTCATAATAATAAGAATGAGTATTGACAATATATTTATTAACGTACTTTGTTTCTTGTTAGGTGATTGGTGAGAGAGATATTCTTGGAACACAGCTTGTGCGACGTAACGATGAGCTAGCCTTACTGTACGAGAAAATCAAAATACAACAGTCTACGCTTAATAAAGGTGAGCTCTTTGCATGGCTTCTTGTCTCCTTTTTATCAGGCTTGAATTAGATTTCTTAATATAATGGTTTTATGCCATAGGTGAAATTCAGTATCGACAAAGACTTGAAGATATTCGACTTCTCAAGCTGGAAATTAAAAAGCTGCGACGGGAGAAGAACATTCTCACCAAAAACGTTGCCAATGTTGAGGACTTAAGGTATAATATATTCATTCGTTTCATTCATTCATCCTTTCTGTTCGAGTTTTTCCATCCACTGACTCATCCATCCATCCACTTATTCATCCATCCCTTCCACTCATTCATCCATCCCTTCCACTCATTCATCCATCTATCCATTCATCCATTCATTCATCCATCCATCCACTCATTCATCCATCCCTTCCACTCATTCATCCATCCCTTCCACTCATTCATCCATCTATCCATTCATCCATTCATTCATCCATCCATCCATCCATCCATCCATCCATCCATCCATCCATCCACTCATTCATCTATCAATCCACTCACTCATCCATCCATCCTTTCATTCATTCATTTGTTTTTATTTTTACCAGACGTGAAGTATATCATCATCAGCGAGAGCTTTTAAGAGAAAGAACACGGTGTAAGGCATTAGAAGAAGAACTGGAAAATCCCATGAACATTCATCGTTGGCGAAAACTCGAGGTGAGAACCGCGCACCCACTAGCTTGGGATGGTATTACCACAGGGAACCCAACCAATCGCAAAAAAATCGTACAGTTACGAGAAACCTTCAATAATTGGTGTTTTCTCCTTTTGTGCGCTCAGGTATTATTTTGAATTATAATCGATGTGTCCTACTTTTATTCCCCAGGGAAGTGACCCAAGTACGTACGAAATGATACAAAAAATCCAAACTCTACAAAGAAGGCTGATACAGAAGACAGAAGAAGTAGTCGAAAAAGAACTACTGATCCAGGAAAAAGAAAAACTGTACATGGAACTAAAACAGATCTTAGCCAGACAACCTGGCCCAGAAGTAGCAGAACAACTAAGTATTTATCAACAAACACTCAAAGAGAAAACAAAACAGATGAAAGGAATGTCTTCTGAACTGAACATGTATGAAGCGCAAGTCAAAGAATATAAATATGAAATAGAAAGACTGGCGAAAGAGCTGCAAGAGGCTAAGAAGAAGTATTATATGCAGAAGAGAAAAGACCAACAAGCGAGGTAATGTTGAAAAAACAATATTTGTTCAGTTGTGATAGTTGGTCAGTTTGTTAAATATCTGGTAGACCCTTTTGATCAAGGGTGTTGTAGTGGAATAGGTAAACATCATGTCCAAGATATCAACAAAGGTCTATTGTAAAAGATTCAAGGGTGGCTTAGGGGTAGTTCACTCCCCCTCACCTCTGGGGTGGGTCTTATGTTTCCCGGACTCGGCGTCACATGATCAGAATTTGTTGGGTCTGTCACTCGATTCGAGGGTTTTTAATCTGCGTTTTCCAGTTTTTCTCCCTCTGCTAAACCAAATATGCTAAATCCCAATTCGAACCGTGAGTTAGCCGTGCCCTGAACTAGATCAGTCCAGAGTTTGTTTCAAGGTTTAATCTGTGAGTTAGGCATGCCCTGACTTAGATCAGCCCAGAGTTAGTTTCAGGGTAAATCTAAAGCTTACTTATCTGATATAGCAAGTCTAACAATCCAATTATTCTATTTATAGGGAACGTGATCGTACCATCCAACAAGCCGCAGGTCCACCATTTGTCCCACAAAGAACAGACGGGCCCAGATTCACTGGCGGTGGATTCAATCTTCAACAGTCTTCCAAATTGGCTGCATAACACGATCTTCAACACATACCAAGTTTTTATATCAGTTGTAAATAGCGTGACAAACGGTTATATCAATTATCAAAAAATAAATAAATTGTGTTGAAAACGAAAGGGTGTGGCCAAGGTTGTATATTTTTCGCACAAAAACGTCCCTGAATTAAAAATGTTAGTTATTTAATCCCATGTTGTTTTATTGATTTTGTCTTTTTCATGACTCCAACTACAAGAACAAATGGAAATGCGAACGAAGGCGTTTCTTGTCACTATTACCCTTTCAAAAGCACTTTTTGACCTTTTAAAAGAAAATATTAAAAGGCTGAAAATGTGATTGATCAAGCTAAAGTAGACCTAATTACTTGCCGATTGAAACTCATAATCGAGTGTCGTCAGAAAATCTATCAGAATTTTCTATCGCGCATGCACATCATTTTCAAATTGATTCATTCAAAAGTTTAATTTTATTACCGATTAATTATAAATAACCATGAGTAATCATGATTGTGCTATTTTTACTTTTTGATTCATTAAAAGAAGAACCGTACTTCCAAACATCGAGTGCTGAACCGTCGTATTTTGAGCAAACTCAAAAATCTTGATTGCGACGCAGATGCCTTTGAATTAAACGCATACTAACTCCTTCCCATTTGGGATGCATTTTTAAAACTAAACGAAACGTGCATTATAGTAAATTCGATCTGTTTCAAAGTTTATCTGCAATGGAAACATTATTTTGGGATTTTTAATTTCTGATTCAAGGACCATAATTCCAGACAGCAAGTTCTGAACCGTTGTATGATACCCCGAAGCATTTACGGCTACGCCGGAGATTTCGACCCCGACACCGCTATCCGGAGCTATCCCTTTGCTAGATCGCGTAAGACCGCTGGAAAAAGATATTGGGGCGCGCTTCGATAACTTGGAATCGAGGCTATCCCTGTATACGAACTCATCTCTCTGTGACAGATATAAGAGGTTTTTAGTATTAGTTGCTGTTAAGAAAGCTTTTTGATCGTTTCAACGACTTATGGAGGTAAATAA